TTTAGATAAACACATAAACAAACAAACAAGATGTGCATATCATCATCATCATCATCATCAGTATTTCCCGTTTGGCCGTTTAATACAGAGTTATGATCCATAATTTATTATCATTTATTGTTCATAGAAAATCTTCGCGGCGAAGAAACGAAACAAAAAAGACACGGCGTAAATCAGCAACAAAGTGTTTTATTGAAACCGTGTGGACATATAACACAATTCGTAATGTTTGATTATGCGTCCTTTTCAATATTTTGAATTGCTACACGATAATATTACATTACATTACAACTTACATGCTATCCTACTTGATATGTTTAATAACGTTCTGTACTATACAGTCGCGCAACAACATTCTGTATTACACAACACTTTTCAGCATTTAACTACAAAATAATTATTTATCACGTTTGAAGTCGCGGGAGTGGAATAAAGCCATTACATATTTTCCATATTACACTAGTGTAATATCGTTTTGACGTGCTCTTCATGTATACTGAAGGAAATAAAATATCTATCTACGTTAGCGGACGTTGCTTAATTTTACCGCGCTTATAAGGGAAAATAACGACAAGTTTTCGCTTTTTCGGCGGCAAAAGTTTACCTGTGATAAAAAGAATATTACATTCGTGTCTTTTAACATTGAATTTATTAAACTCGTTGAATAAAATAATAAAATGCTCGGCAGAGCCTCGCAATTTATTATTTTATCAAACTCGTTTAATAAATTCAATATGAAAAGACACTCATGTAATATCCTATATTTATTTGATGCTAACTAATGAAATACTGTTCTATCAATGAAATATATTCATATTATATCAGTCACAGTGTGGTGATATAGATTTGGGTGATATAAGCCACGCCCACTCTGCGTACGTATTTATAAGTCTGGATTCCCTAAACATGCATTAAAAATAACTGTTTAATTTCATTCTAAATGACATATTTCTCGATTCAAATGTCCGTAATTTTGTAAGATTGTTGACAATGAGACCGCAAAAAGAAATATAAATAAATAAGGATTATTTTGCTTGCAGCGTTAACGTTTGCCGTCATATTGTTTACGCGCGCGTAGTCTCCGCGCTTCAGTAGTAAACGGTCTAAAAGCACTTTTCAAAAGGCACATAAAATAAAAAGAAAATGTGTTTGCTTTTCGTGAATATGAACTATATCTCACATCGAAGTGAGAAAATGTTCATATTTTCACTCGCGCTACGCGCTCGTGATACATATTTCATTTTTTTTCTCACTTCTCAGTGAAATATATTTCATATTCACTCAAAACAAACAAATATCCTCTATAAAATTCACTAAACACCGTCGTTTGAAACTATCTAATCATAAAAGGCGAAAAAAGCTAAGACGCGTCGAAACGATAAAACGGCCCCGCCACAAAGACACGATCTGTTTAAACGAATTAACTATATTATTATTACTAGTGGAATAGATATGGAAAGTTCCATAGAGCGTCTGCAAGCAATTGGCACAGACTTGCAAAATCGTCTCAGGAAAGAAGGTTCCTAGATGTCAAAATGTCATACTCTTTAATTGAACCAAGATTCCTGAAAGTCTGCGGAAGTCAAAAGTCTGTCAGACCAAAAAAGGTTCATTGATGTCAAAAGGTCCTAATCTCTAATTAGATATCCTGAAAGTCAACGTGGGTCTCAGCTACTTCCCAAACAATCATATATGGTCTCATTGGTGTAAATATGGTCATAATTTGTACTGAAACTAAGATTAAGTCTGTGAGATTCCTTTAGACTGTCGCTGTATGGTGGGAAGAAATTTGAGGTTCACAGAGGTAAAAAGATCACTTCCAGTTGAAGTCTGATACTATGCCGTGCATTGTCACCAAAATTTTTTGAAGGTTTCGAGAACGTAAGACGACTTGATAGCAATACCATTACGACAATGCGACAGTTCTATGAAGACAATACAATGCCGACGATACGATATTGCAACAAGTTAGTACGATGGCGATAATGCAATGGTGGTGAAAAGATATTGGTATCGTGATGTCGACATCACAATATCGATTTATTGCATTGTCGCCCTTGTACTATCGCACTGATATAACCACGATTGTCCTTATGATATTCCGTGTATCACATATTGAAAAATAAACTTGTGACATTTGTGATTCGCCTGTTTAAAAATTCTCAATTTTGCTTGTGACGTTTGTGATTGGCATTTTTACCCGATTTTGGTCAATCACATTCGTCACAAAAGTCATTTGTGACGAATGTGATCACATTCGTCACAAATTCATAAAAACTTGTGACGAATGTGATTTGTGACACATGTGGCCTAACAGAGCACTTTCCTTCTTTCAATACAGGAATGATTATACCTTTTTTAAGATCGCTCGGTATGTATTCGTGCTGTATCATTAGGTTAAAGAACTCCAATAATAGCTTGCATACACCACTCCCTGCATATTTTATATGTTCATTTACAATTTTATCGTGACCTCCACTTTTATTGATTTTCAAAGAATCTATCGCAGTTTGAAGTTCATTCTCTTGCACAGAATTCCCAAATATACTGTCAAATTCAGAGAAACTATTCGAATTAATGAATTCTCTCATTTCAGCATCCACTTTATCTTTAAAATCCTCATCGAATGAATTACCTTCTGTGGGAAGAAATATGTGTTGATAGTGTTTTTTAAAGGATTCTGCGATATCAATGGGGTTGTCTTGAACGCTATTGTCATCAGATATAATTTCTCGAACTATGTTTTGCTTCTTTTTACGTCTTCGATTAACAGTGCGCCAAAAAAGCTTAGAGTCACACTCAGCATGTTCTTCGAGATTTTCATAAAATTGACGATCCACGTCTGAGATAGCTTTTACTTGATCTTGTTTAAATTTCCTTTTAGCATTTTTATAGTTTGTAAAAGAAACACTGCATTTACCACGTGGTTTGCCCTCAGATATCCAAATACGTCTAAGACGTCTCTGTTCACTATGCGCAAACTTAACTTCCGTAGTCCAATATGGCTTTGAGTGTTTGTTAAATTTAAATTTTGGAAGTGTTTTATCAGCTGCACAAAGTAATAGATTAACAAGATAAAGGTACATATTGTCTATCAAATTTATAGGGTCACTTCTCACGGCGTTTTCAAGGTAGTCATTGACATCAATATTTGTTATATTTTCGAATTCCCGCTTTTCGTTTTCCGAACATTTGGACCAGTTTGTATTCGGATAAGAACTTTCTTGAAAGCTATACTTAGAAAATTTGATGTTTAATATAGCGTGTATAGGATTATGATCTGAAACATGACAAAGATCATTGTCTATTACTTCACACTTTGCTATCATGTTGTCATTAAACTGATTGAATACAACGTAATCAAGTGTCTTTAAGGTAGGTCTAAACGTATGATTACAACCTGCAGTCTTTGCATAAGACATCTTGTTTCTGTTTAGAAACTGCTTGAAATATCTATCTCTTTTGTCAGGCTTGTCAATAAATACATCAACATTGAAATCTCCAAAAAACATAACATTTCCATCTTTGGAATATTTTTCTGAAATAGTTTCCAAAATGTCAATACAGTCTTTGAATTCATCAAAATCATAATTTACAGATGGTAAGTATACAGAAAATAAGAATGAGGATATTTCATTTGAGTGACATATTTCAATACCAACAATGCGATCGCTAAAATTATGCACTATTTCTTTAATATTAAAGGATAACTGTTTTCTATATAAAATAGAGACGCCTCCTTTCCCCAATTTAGTACTTTTCATAGTAGAGTTATCAAATCTACTAACAGATAAATAGTCTGTATGAATGCTATTGAAAAAGTCTTTACAGTGAGGTTTTAATTCATGTTCAGATATAAAGGCTATATCAACATCAAAGATGTCTAACAATTTGCTTAAACTAGCAGAAGAGGACATAGCGCCTCGAACATTCCAAGTTAACGTGTTTATATTTAATTGTTCAGTACTTGAACACATGTCATTAAAAGGTGTTAACAGCAGTACACAAATGATATAGAATGCAAATTTAAACATTTTCATTGTAATAATTTGCCCATTCATTTATTCCATACCACCGACGGCAGTACATTTTTTTCAGCCAAAAGCTTTTATTTTCAATTATACACTTAAAGTTGGAAATCATTACAGATCCAGAAAGTGATGCAACCTTGCTTAGAAGAGCTTGGGAAGTAGAGCGGGTGCGGCTTTTAAAGGAGGGGTGGGTGCGTCCAGATGCGTCCTTTAATGGAGAGTTTGTGCGTTCTAAAGTGGAGTAGCGGGTGCGACCTTTAATTAATGGAGAGCGCTTGCGTCCTTCAAACGAGGAGTAGTAAGTGCGTTATTTGATAGAGTAGCGGTTGTGTCCTTTAATGGAGTAGCGGGTGCATCCTTTAATGGAGCAGCAGGTGCGACCTTAAATTGAGAGTGGGTGCGTCATTTTGCAACATCGAAAAATTCAGTCAAGTTTATATTAACTTTTAAACAAGATTTTGCACATGCGTTTATTGACTTTATAATATTCAAAAGTGTACAACTTAAGTAAACAATATAATTTGAAATTGAAACAGGAAGATATATTGGTGTAGAAAGAAATGCGATAGTTTGTAAATTTTGTTTTCAGCAAGCTGTTGAATCGTTTTATGCTGTTCACTATAATCAAATACAAATTGACATACTCCTTCCCAAATCTAAATAAATTTTCAAGTGATGGCAATTATGAAAAGAAAAAAAATATTTCAACACGAGTCCATTTTACAATATGAGGATTGAAATGAAAATGCAAAACACACAAAAAATCAATAAACATTTATGCTTTTTATACAAATACAAATGTGTCTTAGTTTTAAATTAGATTAAGTTGTCAAGAAATAATTGATCTACACGAAATGCATCAACAGAATTAAATAATTTTTTTAAAAATGTCACAGGGCCAAATATTCTATACAGAATGTAGGGAAACCAACTCATCAATTTTGATAAAGAAATAAGAAATACGGAAACAATGACTCTGCGTCAAGTACGTATATAATATAAACAGAGATATATATCATCACGCTACATTGAGAAAATTTATAGAAGTTAGTATTATAAACTTATAGAAGTTAGTTTTCGCACAAAATATTAGCAACTTTGATATAATTATGTAGTTTTATTGTTTATAAATATAATAAATATAACTTGATGGCCAACACTGTTCAAGACATTTCAGTGTCAACAAATAGTTGCAATTAAGTATCATGCGTTATTATGACTGTAATTTTTGCTGTATGAATAATTGGAAATCAAGTCTAATTAATACGTCATTATCATTGTACTTTTGCTAACTTATTCCTCACACGTAAGTATAACAATATATACCCTTTCATTTAAGCGATAAGCGTCGAGAAGAGTTACTTCCCTTACCGGATTATACCCGTTGATTGTTATTGCAATATACTATGTCAGTTTAAAGCTGAATAAATTGTATTTATATTGTATTTTTATTTCATTTAAACATGTCATTGTTTGAACATAGTTTCATCACCCGTATATTGTAGATTGGCAAGATAAATACATGTATACAAACGACACAAAATAATAGCGGGTTAGTTAGTTTTCACATAACATAATAGCAACTGAGATAAATAACGTAGTTTTAGTGTCTATTATAAGTCTTAGACATTGATGACAATGTACAAATGACTTGTAAAAAATCAATTGTGTCGTGTACATTTGTAAGATAAATATTAAACGAATAACCCAAAATAATAGCGGGGTGAATCATTAAAAAAAGAACAAATTTATCTCTAAAATCACTAACAATTGTTAATGATTAATGGATTTAACATTCTTAAAATTCAAACTGTAGAAGTCATGTCTTTTCAAAGAATATATCTTTAAAAAGTATTATTTAAATTCCTGGTAAAAGTTGAATTTCACTATATAAATAAACGTCTTCAACTGATATCTAACTCCATTATTGATGGATTTTTGTTTGTTGAAATAGATTATATACATGTATAAAAGAAACTGAGAAATCATACATATTAAAGTTTATGGTCCAATAAATCCGACATGGGTAACAACTATAAATAACTACATGTATTCTCTAAATAACTATTAGTCAGCATTTTTCGCTTCGTCATGCAGCCGTGGCATTATCGCATGACTTAAATTAATGATTCACTCTCCCATCGATACAAAATGACAATTTTGTGATAGACTTTGAAAATTGTTAATATACATATTATTCAATGAAATGCTGTAACGTAAATTTATTCGTTAACAAAGTCTGACCCAGTTATTTCTTTTCTTTGAGGCATTCTCCCTACACGCACTGCAGGTTTACACTCCTTCACCTTTTCAAGCGACGTCTCAAGCGCCGTAAAAGCAGGATTTACCTTTTGGAAAACTAATTCATTACCAAAGGTTTCCATTAGCACTTGCTTCTTTAAGCTGTCTGCATCCACTTTTTTACCGGTATGGTACAAGTCAACCGCTTGATAAAGTTTGTCCAAGGTTTCTCTCTCACTTGTAAATATGTTTGTTATTTCTTGTCTTGCAACCTCCAAATGGGCTAGTCGTAATTTCTGTAAGTTGTCCAGGGCTTTGTTGTACGCTTTGTCAATCTCCGCAAACATCTTTTTTTGTTTCTGGTCCACTGTCATTGTCTTTTTAGACGCCAATATTTCCTGTTTCATAACAAAACATTCTTTCATTTCATGACTCATAGTTTCCATTTCCAGAACCTTACAATCGATACCAAAATGAACCTTTTCTGCTATACAAGTCATGCAAATAAGAGTTTTGTGAGATGAACAGAAACCAGTTGCCTTCTTTTTACCATGATAATCGCAGTAAATAGTGCTGCCGAATCTAGGTAAAGAGTACGACGCTCCCATTTCCACAACTGTTGTTTACTTAAACCGTGCTGCAATTACGTTCCCGAATGTAGAATCGGATTTCAGAAAATGCTGTGTTGGTTTTCAAGAATTAGAAACCCACAGTAGCTGGCCCGCCACGTAAATGGAAACGAAACCTAAAACGAAAGTAAATAAATCCGTTTAAAAATAGTTTCCTATTGAAAATTAAATCAATAAACTGATCGTCAGCCATTTGCGGAAACAACATTCAAACAAAACGGTTAAAAGAAAACTACGCTATTCAAATAAATTGTATACCTCTGTCTTGAATCACGAGGGATAAAAACACAAATGTAATTAAGTATATCCGTAGAAGAAGGAACAATTGAAACAGAAACAGAAAATACAAATGCCGAATTCTTGTTATCGTTCCAATATTTGATATTGATCGATCCTATATATGAGCCGCGTCATGACAAAACCAACGTAATGCGTTTGCGACCAGCATGGATCCAGACCAGCCTGCGCATCCGTGCAGTCTGATCAGGATCCATGCTGTTCGCTGACAAACCCTATTACAAGTAGGAACAGCATGGATCCTGATCAGACTGCGCGGATGCGCAGGCTGGTCTGGATCCATGCTGGTCGCAAACCCATTACGTTGGTTTTGTCGTGACGCGGCTCAAATATAAACTTACTCATCTATATACACTTGGTAGTATTACTTCGGATCAAACAAGTTAAGGTCGAGTGGTTCCGTACTCGACGTAAGATCTACATCGATTGAAAAAGTCCATTAATTTGAACAATATAGGTATAGGCGTTTAATACAAAAAGTGACCGCTCAATGTCAATGCGCTAAAGCATGTGGATAACTGTTTAAATCAAGTAATATTAAATCATCATTGAGGCTCGCCTATTACATGTACAGAGAACAATGTGTATGTCTGTATGTCCGTCCGCCCTTTCAGGCACTGAGTGTACGGACCCCGAACATACCACCACCATTCGTACGTGTCCTTAAATGTCCTTAAATGTTATGATCTACCAAAATGTGACATATAAATTTTGAATTCGGTAAATCACTGCATAATACTAAATAATATATATGCAAGTCGAACGCCCTATCCTCCCGAATGAGAACTCACGTATATGCGTGACATTTGTATTTTAGTTGATTTTTTTCTTAATTATCTTATTCTTATCTTGTACAATACAGTCCTTACGGACAATGGTACTCCATAATCAGATATGCTTTGCAACCGATTTCAAGTATAACAAAATGCTATAGGAGCAAAATGTGCAATCTTATCATAAAAACAAAGTTCAAGTTTAGTAATCTTAGAATTTTTTCAATAGTACGGTCGTTTTTAAAACGTTTTACGCTGTTATTAAGTCGGCGTTTAAACGGTTCGCATTTTTGCTAACCGTGACCACTCCTAAATATTTATCTGCGTTATATTATGCAGAAGATTATCATGTTCTCGTAGCCAGTGCCTTTCATCTCTTTTCAAAATGCATTCGTTTTATACTTTTTAATGAAAATGTCATTACAATAGTTGGCAATTTGATAGCAATAGAAGAGGTAGAGACTGACCGAACGTTTTAAAATTGAAAAAAGTACTGTTACTAACTTGCCTAAGTGTCATATCTTATAGCAAGTTCTTTCTTTTTTCTCTCTGTCAAGGTATAAAGCTCTGCTCATCATCTGACACGATCGGATTTAGACGAAATCAAGGTAGCTTAGACTTTTCAAATGGTAGCGACAATCAAATACTTTAAACAATTAAATTATTATAAATTTGAAAATATGTTACTCTCAATTGTTGTCCTTGCTAAACCCTACAGTATAGCCTGTGCATGCCTGCTGGGCTAGGCCTATATATAATAACAATGAACCTCTCTATTATATTATCAGACACAATTTGAGGAGCTAATTAATTACTGACATTAATCGTTTATCTATAAATGTTCAATTGTGTATATACTGACGTCAAAAAATATTTGTATTTTGCATGTCAATTCATTCTCTGGAGTTAAATATATGTTTATATATCTGTGATATATGTAGACCATTCTTTGTACGTCGTCTAAATTAAAATATAACATCTAGATGTTTATTCAAATTATATAAATCATAACCTCAATAATCTTTTCTAATATTTTGAGTATTTTAAGCTGTTTTATGTAATATATTTGATTTAAAAGCCTACAAATACTTGCATATTTAAAAGCGAAATGATGAAAATCGCAAAGATTTTCGTTATTAGTAAACTCCTTTCGTAAGTTTTATTTCCATTTCCGGACCAATCGGATTACGTTGTTGCCCGGATATTGTAAACAGAATTGACATTTAGCTAATTTTAGCTGTTTTCTTGCTAGTTGGTATCTATCTATATTCATTTCAAAACAATTTTTATTTCTAAAATCAAATAATTTCTGTCAACTGTAATTTTACTCTGAAAATTCGGATTGGCGTTGATTTAGTAAAAATATTTGTTTCCACTTCGTCCTTAAAATATGTCGAACCCAGTAAATTGTAGGATGTTTTAATTACAAATATTTTTTTAAATATTATTCCACTGACTGAGAACTTATATAAATGTTTAATTTATTATCTGAATATCTAAATATAATTTTTTAACTGTCAAGTATACTCTAACTCTGTATTATCGGCGCAACTCTATTACCGACGTACTCTCAGTATTTTGTCATGTGCGGTCATGCATACATTGAAATTAAAATTCTCATTCAATAAAAAATGTAATGATTAGTTGAATTTGTACTGCTTTACCAAGAATATTGATTATTAAAGTCATCAATGAAATTCAATGCAGACATATAGGAAAAGTTAAGTACGCCGATAATACGGAGTCCCATATGCTACTTGTTGCTTCTGGTGACCATCGAAAGGGGATGGCACAATGAAAAATAAAATGTATCTGTTTTGGCATTGAATACCCTTCCCCCATTCAGCAAGTTGAAAAATGTCAATACCCTTTGAAAAAACAAAAATGGGATTATGGGATAAAAAATACTCTTTGGATCAAAAGCTTATCTGGAGCTCTGCAAAAATATGCACCACTTGACCTTTTCAAAACCTAGCTAAACACCATTTTCAGGTACGTTAGTCGTTACAGATTTAGCTCTGGGGAATTACACCAAATGAAGTATAAAGCACTATTACATGATATTTCTATTTTACTATGATTATTTTACCGTTTAAGGTGAAATAAACTTGATGTTTTTGAAAATAATCAATGTTCCTTTAATATCTATTGCAAAGTTTACAAAAAATAAATTGTTTATAATAAAAATTAATAAAATTAAAACAGTCGTTGCTCGCATCTCCCATGATAAATAAAGACATTTTTGGCGTAAACCTGTGTATTAACTTTATATTTTGTATGGAATAATTCATTCAATGATATTTTATTATTAATTTATTTTCTTAGTTTTATCTCACTACATAAAGCGTTCATTGTTACACTCCATTAGGTGATTTCCCCAGAGCTATGTACAGAAAGTACTTGAAAACGGCGTTTAGCTAGGTTTTCAAATTCCTGACTTGCAGTGTCAAATCATGGAAAGCGCCTTTGGTGAAGGATTCACATATTTTTTTCTATTACTTTAAAATTGGCCATGATGAATCCTGTCAAATCTGTGATGTAAATTGTCATAATGAATTTGGCCAAGCTAAATAAGAAACATTTTAGTTAATTGTAGAATTATAAAATTTATTATTTTATTACATGTTACTAGTTTATGAGTAACCTTTCAACAATAAAATTATTGTCTTCCACATAGTAGGAGATATCAGGCCTTTTCATTCATTTTGGGGGAAAATACCTTACCCAGATTGTGAATTTTGTGTCATAAAATTGCTAAATTGGGAAAAATGTAAGGTACTTTTAAATTAATGAATTAGTATACACAATTGTAACTATAAAAATGTTCTTGTTTAATTAACTTTCATAACAGTTTTCCTGTCATACTCTAAGAATTTTTTTTTTTATTTCGTAAAGATAATATTAAGTTCATTTAACACAATCATGTTCTGTTTGTATATAAGATAAAGATGTCTTCTGACTTAGTGGCAACTTGGAGACTGCCACTGCCGGATGGTGATCATAAAGTGGAGTTTGAACATGGAACTACCTCCGGAAAACGTGTCATTATTGTTGATGGAAAGGTATGTTCTATTCATAATTTTTTTTTAATAACAGGCTGTGACTGTATTGATTATATTATATTATATAATTTTTAAGGAATTTATTATATGCAGCAGTTTTAAGTGTCAAGAAAAAAAAGCAAATGGCTTAAGTTCATCATTAAAGCAGGCTCGAAATTTAAATACAAAATTTCTTTGTTGATTCAGTCTCATTATAATCATGTCCTAATCTCCAGTAGCTTTTGCTAGATAACACTGATCAAGACTGATGACATACAGCAACATAATAAAAGGCGTTGCATAACCCACATCTTGTAGACTTCTTACTACAATAAATACTGCAAAATCAGTTAATAATTATTGCACATAATTAATATATTAATTTATATTATTAAACAGAGGGTATTGAATGAGTGTAAGTTCAATACTGAATTTATTGAACGTGTTATATAAAGTTATATTATACGAGCCTCTGGCGAGCATGGTAATAGTATTATTTTATTCAACAAGTTCAATAAATTCAGAATTGATTTTATATTATATAATATTCTATTTACCACATACCCAAAATAAAGATTGTTTAAAGTGAAGAATAATCAATTTTCAATGACACGCCTATAGTGTAAATCTAACATTTAGCGTGTCTTTTCACTATGTTTGTAACGCAAACATCAACATATATGTACGGCCGTACAATACTGTTTTTACACAGTCACAAATCGGCACGGGTATGTGATAAAAAATGAATATTTTTACTTTTTCATAAAATCTTAAACAAATTTTTTTTCTAAAGTTTGATTTTCTTGAAATATTGTGGCTCATCTGCAGGCATGCCACTTTAAAGATTGTCTTATTTTTATATTCAGGAAATATACAGAAATGACTGGATGTTTAAACTTGTTGGAAAAGAACATTTTAAGGTTGGAAAGGAAAACTGTACTATATCTATTGACGCTTGTTCAGGCTTTGCATATGAGTACACTCTGTCAGTGAATGGCAAATCTTTGGAAAAGTTCAAAGATAACAAGAGTAAAACTATGAAATGTTGGTACTTTACCACAGGCTCAGCTAGCAGTACACCTTATAGAGTAGTTTTAGGTGAGTTTTTCATTATTTCAAAGGTGAATTCTCACTCTTGTAATGTTTTACATGGGTTCCCACTCTTAGGTAAGTTTTCACTATTCCTTTCAGATCTTTTAGGTGAGATTTAGCTCGACTTTTTAAAGAAAAGGGAGAGCTATTGTAGGATAATAGGTCACTATCCAAGGCCCATAACTCTAAGATGGATTTTGACAAAAATCATGGCCCATTTCTTGAATTTTGAAAATTCTACATTATCCAGGCTATTTTTTGGCTATCAAGCACTGAGAACAGTCAAGCATGCTTGTCCTTTTGACAGCTCTTGTTTATATTATTACAAAGTTGAACTTCAAGATAAATGAAGTTTTATGGGGTATCCATCATTGCTGAGTGCATAAGATAATGCTAACTGTCAGTCATTTACCCCTCCGAGCTGTAACTTAGAAGCTTAATAGGATGCTGAGTTCTTAAATGTAAGGAATGATAGTTTTACTTACATGCCTTCTTATGTGTTGAATGGTGAATTGAGGTATACTTCTCTTATAAAATGTTAAAAGTTGACATTTGACCTTTATACTAAGTACAAAACCCAGTCTTAAAAAATTACAAATTTAAAATCTAATAAAATACATTGCAACCTTTGTTATGTATATCTCATATGTTGAGTATAGTTTAATGTACATTTTTAACTGAAGGAAATGCTGCAACCGATTCTAAATGTAACAATTGGGTAATTTTTAATCAGTAATATATGCCTGTTAATTAAATTATTGTTAAAATCGAAAAAATTAATATGCAAATAGTTTACTGAGGGATATAAACAAGATTCTATTTAGTGTTAATTTTGATAATAGAAACAATAAACTTTTTTTGAATTTACAGAAAAAGATAAACTTGATATATGGGTAAATGGCGTAAAGGTGGAATCGACTGTAAGTATTTTTAATTTACTTTGAACATACATTGTCTTCTGACGGGCGTCTATGGCAGAGTGGTTAAGGTCGTTTACTTCAAACCCCTTGCCTCTCACTGCTGTAGGTTCAAACCGAGCAAGAGTCTTTGGATTCTTTTATGTGAGAAAGCTATCGAGCTAGCTTACTAAATGTTAGTGGTTCTACTCAGGTGCCTGTTTGTGTCTGAAATAATGTACAGAGGGGCACCTTAGGTCTTCCTCCACCAGGAAAGCTGGACAGACGCCATATGACCTATATTGTGTTGGTGCAACTTAAAACCCAATAAAAAAATCTTTTCCTGCTGCGTCATTGATAATTCATCCTGAAATTTTTTGATGGAGAAAAATTTTTATCTGTTTGGGCATTCGGGCATTTGATAATTTGTTATCTATTTGGACATATTGTGCACTAAAATGAGATACTGTGCAACTTAGTATATTTGCATATTCATAAGCATAAATAGCTAATATAGTTTGATGATATAAAAAATATGAAATATAAATATCTGAAATAATCTGGTTACAGTTTCACATAACACTACTTACTGTGCCAGGAATAATGCATGGGGTAGCACGCCCTCTCAAAATAAAGCTGGAAAATTGCCAAATAATTGCAATAGTGTGATTTAAAGCCAGCCAAAAAAAGGGGAAAAAAATTCTAGTCTGCATTAGATGGCAATTTTTTATCATGGTATTTTCATTGTCATATAATTTTTAAGAGTACAGAAAAAAAATTGATATTTATTTTGCCAAAAGTAGAACCTAACTATTAAATAATATACATTATTATTTTATATTTTACTTGAAGGGCGAATTTACAGATGAAGGCACTGAGACTCACTTTGCCCTTGGTAATAGCTGCAGGTCTGCGTACATCAGGGCGGAATCTACGGGGAAGAGACGGGAAGGAATAGTTCATAAACTTTTTATTGATGACGAGGAGGTCCCGTCGCTAGAGGAACAACATCATAATCAGTTCCAGCAACATGATTAGTTTAAAACAACAGTAGTGTTGTTGACCTTTCTCTTCTTAATACTTGATCTGTTAAAAAAAAGGTTGAAAAAACTGTGGACTTCAATCATGTCAATTCTCACCTCTTTTGTTTATACAAAGTTTTTTAAATGGCTCTTTTAATATGCATTTTGTATCCTACATGAAAAGTCTTTTTAGATTTAAATGAAAAGCGTCTAATGAAATATCATAAAGTGAAATTTTAGTAGGCTTTACATGATTTCTTGGATGAGATTTATTTAAATCTATAAAATGGCAACACATTTAAACATTTTTTTTTATTACATGATATTTTATTAACAGGAAAATGGCAAAGTTTCTATCGATGTAACATTTTATATGAAACATATGAAATATAAAAAATACATATGATGGTTGTATTAAATTGAAAACAAGCGAAGTCATGTGATAAATGTACATTTTGTTTTCTCAAGTTGGTTCATCAATGAGGTTACCCTTTCCATAATATGTATTTGTCGGACTAGCAGTCCAAAGATTTCTTGGGTTCAAACCCCATCTGAGGCAAGTTGTTGTTTTCACGAGTTAGAAACTTTACACTGGTTGCTTTGTACTGGTTGTTTCCAAGAATGGGTCGGGGAGTGTTTCAATAAGCTTATAGCTTCCTTCACAATTTAACTAAAATTAAAACATATAAATTAATATGACTGTATTGAAATATTAGACATGTTAATTTGATATTGATAGGGCTATCTTTCATTTATTTTCAAAGCACGTGCACAATTGATTCTAGGTTGTTTATAGTATTGTAGGTATATACCTAGTCAATATTTTGTTAGCCTTTTTTTTAGATTTCACCTTAAATGGATTCTACTGAGGTTTTTTTAACATGATTTGTTGATTTGTTTACGGATATTATATTTTTAGAAACAAACATTTTTGCATTATAAATAGCTCTCTTGACGCTGTTTTAAGGAAAGCTTACACTGTGTTATGATGTACTTTTTCTAAGATATGAAATAAATCTTTGTTAAATATTCTTTACTTTTTTCCAGATTTAAAAATGATTTGTCAAGAAATCAAAGAGTTTAATTACTTCCTGAACTAGAAAATCAATCTGGTTTGATTGTCTTTGACAATATGTTGGTTTGCAGTAACTTTTCATACCAATTAATAAAATATTCTATACATTTTAATGCTATTTTGGTCAAAAATAATTTTTTCTTGATCTGATATTGACAATGTTAAAAAACAAATATGCCATTGCTAATTTATTATTATTCTTATTATTATTGTATAATTGCAATAGTGTCAAAAAAAATCCAGTGTGGATTTGAATTTCTAAAAGTTTTAATGTAGTTAATCAGGCAGCTATATTAACCTACTATATCAACCCATGTTTGTTATTTTATGCTGAAATCTCAATTTTTGTTTTCTTTTTTCACTCTATTTTATGCCTGCTGTGATCAGAGTAGTTTTATGTATGTGTCCAAAGTGTAAGTGAAGATAGAATAGAGATTTTAATACTTTACTGCTGTCACTCAGTAAACTTTTACCTTTACCTTTGTTGTGTAATTGACTTAACTGAATTAGAATTCCATTTTTACTTGAGATATTTTAAGAGTATAATTTTTGAATTTGAGTAGCTAATAGAAAAGAGTAGTGTTAGACTGTGACTCTGGCAGTACTTGGAAGCATTTTCAGGGTTGAGTGCAGACGTTTGCAATAATTTAGAGCATTTTCAAGGCCTAATGTAGAATCTGGCTGTAATTTTAAGCATTGCAAGGGCTAATAAAGACTATGTCAGTAGTTTGAAGTATTGCAAGGGTTAAAAGTAGACATGTCAGTAGTTAAGTATTGCAAGGGTTTAAAGTAAACTTTGGCAATAGTTTGAAGTATTGCAAGGGTTAACTGTAGACTATGGCAGAATTTTGAAGCAGTTTAAAAAGAATTAAAACTTACTTGTCAACCAAATTTTATCCAAAGAAAATGCTGTATATATCTTGATAAAATAAAAATTAATCATATATTCTGGGGTTTGATTATGAAATATTTCTCTAAGCTTAAATAAGCTTAAACAGGCAGGTTGAAAATGTGGTGATGAAAATGATAAAATTTGCCATCTTGTCACCTTGATGCAGTAATGGATTAACTAATAATGATAGGAGTTAACCTGTTAATGCACTAAGATGACAATATTCTGCATTTACATGGTTTTTCTAAATGTCAATATTTATACATTCCTTAGACTCAGATAATGTGGGTTTTTTAAGTTTGATGTTTTGTAAAACTTCAGCTGCTAATCTGGATGCATGCAGCTTTAAAAGCAGACTTTTTGTAAGAGAACATCACCTTGATGAAATACTGATCATGTTTCTCTATATTCTGTTGAGATTTTTACAGTGTTGTATATCTCATTTTCTCATTTTTGTACTGTGTATATAAAGTATACTTGGTTTGCATAATTGACATAATACTTGATTTGCATAATTGACAAAGAGTGATGCTAATATATTAAAAAATGATCTTGTAATCAATAATCTTGATTCTGTGCCAAATTATGTACCAAATGTACCTATTGTTAATTTGAATATTTTTATAGTATTCAAGTATGTTCCTGGGTCTTAAAATGTAAACAATTGAAAAGTCAAAGAATTGTAGATGCAAATAAGAAATATGAGCCGCGTCATGACAAAACCAACATAATGGGTTTGCGACCAGCATGGATCCAGACCAGCCTGCGCATCCGCGCAGTCTGATCAGGATCCATGCTGTTTGCTTACCAACCCTATTACAAGTAGGGAACGTGATAGCAAACAGTATGGATCCTGATCAGACTGCGCGGATGCGCAGGCTGGTCTGGATCCATGCTGGTCGCAAACCCACTATGTTTGTTTTGTCATGACGCGGCTCATCTGTATACTGAATGCTTGAGTATTTTGGTACATTATACATGTACAACAATGGGCAGAATATTTTTGAGATTAGAAGGTAGTTAGTTATACAATCTGTGAAAATTTGACTTCATAGAAATGGTTTAAGTTACCAGAATTATGAAAAGTAATGGTATTTCAACTCCTTAAATTTCTAAATTACACTGCAGATAAAATGACTTCTTTATGCCAGATAAGTCAGCACGTCCCTGCGGTGTTATCAGAATGCTCTGTTATGTAATATTGTCTGACTTAAAGTTGCTAATTAATGATATTTGAAACCCCTATAAATTAACATTGGACATTTCCAGCTTTTAGACAGAGAAATTTCATTAGACAAATTTATTTGTTTAGAGGTGAAAACATAATATTTGAGATTATGGATAATGTGCCTTCTTTTATATTTGTTGAATACATTTACTAAAATGTCTTATTCTGATACACTGATCTACATTGTTAGTTGTATTTTGGGGGGTTATTTAAGGGTAAGAGGGGATTTTGGAGGGAGGGTAAGGGGGGAGGGTTTGGTATACTGTTGTTGTTTATATATATCTATAACATTCCATGTAACTTATCCATATTATTTATATAATAACTGTTGTATCACTGTGATCAGGGTGTTAATTTTGTTACTTTTATCCTAAATAGTCTGTTATAATAATAAGTTGTTGTTTTTTGTTTAGAGTGCACTAATACACGTTTCCCACTGTGACAAATACACATTATATGTATTATGTATATCATGTTGGTAATTATAAATCACTAATTGTACTTTTTTCTATGTAATCTTTTTACTAAATATATAACTATTTACTGAATATTTCATCTTTGATGTACAATTTGTATTTTTTTGTGTGTTTTTCCTTCGTTCATGTACACAGTAAAAAAGAAAGAAACTAAAAGAATATTTTTGTCTCACATACATTGGATCTGAAATGTATAAGTGTAGTATTGTGTGCCAATAATAGCACTAATAACTTATTTTAGACTTTCATGTTCCTGTATTATGTTTGTAAGGTTATGAAAAATGTTGAAGGCTTCAGTGTGAAACAAGCCTATGATAATTATAGAGATAACTTGAATGTTATGACTGACAAAGACTAGTTTTCAATTAAGCATTTGATACTATGTACAGGGAGTTGATATATATTATACATGTGTAATAGGACACTACATAGAGACATTTGAATGAGATTTAGAAATGTAATGTTTTAATTTATCAAAAAAAAATTCATTTATCATAAACAACAACAAAAACAACACGATACAGGAGTGTAACAAAACAATAACATACTAACTTCATTTAATAATAATGATATTACACTAGAGTCATAACACTTTAACAATTACATGATGTCATTTTCGTTATATTCATGCATATAAACATAGCGTTAAAGAGTACTAATCTTATCCTTACACTATAGGCGCATCATTGAAAAATTACTCTTTTTAACCGTTAACAGTTTTTATTTTAGATATGTGATACCTAGAATATTATATTTGTATAGATTCAATACTAAATGAATATCATTAGTGATCTAAATATTTGCTTGGTCATCAGAGTTTGATGCTAAATTTAAACTGTTTTATTAGTGAAACAAGTTAAAGGGTTTTTGTTTCGATATAATATTATGTCTTTTCTATGTGATGTATCATTATGTGTCAAATGTTATAAGTATATTTGTTTCTCTATCTTAGTCATTTGTCCGTCCAATTTCTGAATAATACAATGTACTTGTTTATGTGCTTTCATTCTAGAATAAACAGAAAATAGAAGATCACGACTTTGTTAGTATTTTGCAGAAATGACCATGTTATAATATGCAGGCTTAAATCATTTTTAATGCATATTTAATAGTTGTATTTGTATCAGTCACACAATTACTAAGAGCAGTTAATAAAATAAAGAACCAGGAGATATAAGTTTAGTTTGTAAATAATTTCTTTTGAAAATTAATTTTTTTATGTGATGTGAGACAAAAATTAGGCCTACATGTATTTCAAGAAAATTAAACTTGAGAAAAATGGACTAAGATTTAAGAAAGTTTAAAAGATTAAAATTTCAAGTTATAATTTAGATGTAAATATGTGCAATTAGCCATTGATTTTGCAGTGTCCATCACCATATTTCTACTGCGTGACTTACACAGTAAGAGCTATTTTCGACCTCTTTTTAGTTTTTATGTGCATTGTAAGTGCTGTTTGCAATGAGTAAATCACTTTTTTTGTTCACTTATCAATATTTTACTTAGATTCTATCAATACATTTTCAAAATTTTCCTGAAAATTAGCATGAATCTGGAGGCAAGATGCCAAAAATTTTGTGATCCGTTTGACGTATTAAGTTAAGCTCAAATAATGTTGGGGCGGTTGATATTCCGATGATAAATATCATATTTTAGGCCTAATGAAGTCCAGCTTAGCATTGTGTCATTGACAAATTACCAGGCCTGAACCATCTGTCTTTATTTTATTAAAATCTGTATATGTTATATTAGAAAAGAAAAAAAAATGACAGAAGCCGACATAGTGTTGGGATAGTGTATAATTAAGGTAATTCTAGAAAAAATATATACTGTTTATTCTGATATATATTATATATACAGTGTATTTTTTTCTAGAATTACTTTTTTTACACTATCCCAACACTTGGCCGTGTCCCAATGGCTTGAAGTACTATACGAGTACGTTGTATTTTGAGTACGAATCATTTGAAATAATTACCGGGAACCAATTACACAGTTCGGGAACCAAATCAGGAAGTGATAGTTTTGACAGACGAAATTTTCGTGAAAACGGTGAAAAATGAGTGCAGAGAAATTATCAATTTGTATCATAGGATCAGGAAATTGGTGAGTTACTTTATTATTCGCTCCTGATAATACTTTTAGGCGACTTGTCATATAATCTAGCTCTGATCACGTGTCCATTTTACAGATTTCACATTTCTCGACGTCCTTCACCCTTTGCCTACTAAACTGATACAGCATGAAGGACATCTGAACTGTAAAATAAGTGTGTCATGAACTTCTTGACATACTGGCACACATCAATGTTATGTCTGAACCAATTATTGTCGACTCTTGAATGGAAACTGACTTTTATAGTCTATATGTTCAAAATATTCCAGACAGTCTTGCATTAGTCTAGTAACCCAGTGGTTAGACCTTCCTTTTGAAAAGTATAATTGTAGAATCTTATTTATCAGGTTTATAGCTATAATAAAAAAATAGCCTGCATGTCACCTGGCATCATAAAAATAAGGGAACGGCTCAGGTTGTCTATACAAATGTGATTATAAATTAAGGTGTCTGGCCCTATCAACTATTGTGATTTTAGGTTTCATAACTTCAGACACTTGTTTTGTAAACAAATATGTTTGAAGTAAAAAAAATATTTGCCAGACTAATGCATCAGTCAATTGGAACATACTATGACAGGCCCCTACTCCTGCTAAGTGTGGACTTCGACCCAGCAGGGTAAAATCCCAGCTTGAAGTCACTTCTGTGTGATATGGACATATCTTTAAGTCCAAATATTTAGACGTAACCGCGGATTTGAAGCTATTTTTTACATTGTGTCAAATCCGCTTTAACCACATTAGAAATTCGCATTTTCTGATAAACATCAAACTGTAAAAAACAGAAAATGCGATGTCTTTCAATGAAGGACTAGGACATATCCATGCCAAAATTGTCTACTGTACATTAAACTGGCAGTACATCAGCCTGAGTACAAAAGGTGAAAAGGATTTAAAGGTCAGTTAATTTTTAAATGCCACTTAATTCCCTGTGACTTTTTCATTGGTGAGAGATGATTCAATAATTTTACTGACCATGTTGTGCAAAGTAATAGTCAGAGCATTTATAACACATACATTTTTAGCTCGACTATTCGCAGAATAATCGAGCTAATGCAGTCACCCATTTGTCGGCGTCGGCGTCCCTGTGGTTAAGTTTTTGCATGTAAGCTGGTATCTCTATAACTACTGAAGGGAATGGATTGAAACTTCACACACTTGTTCTCTGTGATTATCTAAGATGATTGGCACAAGTCCCATAACTCTGATTTGCTTTTTTTCATAATTATGCCCCTTTTTCGACTTAGAAATTCTTGGTTAAGTTTTTGTATGTAAGCTGGTATCTCCTTAACTACTGAAGGGAATGGATTGAAACTTCACACACTTGTTCTCTGTGATTATCTAAGATGATTGGCACAAGTCTCATAACTCTGATTTGCTTTTTTTTCATAATTATGCCCCTTTTTCAACTTAGAAATTCTTGGTTAAGTTTTTTGTATGTAAGCTGGTATCTCCTTAACTACTGAAGGGAATGGATTGAAACTTCACACACTTGTTCTCTGTGATTATCTAAGATGATTGGCACAAGTCCCATAACTCTGGTTTGCTTTTTTTCATAATTATGCCCCTTTTTCGACTTAGAAATTCTTGGTTAAGTTTTTGTATGTAAGCTGGTATCTCCATAACTACTGAAGGGAATTGATTGAAACTTCACACACTTGTTCTCTGTGATTATATAAGATGATTAGCACAAGTCCCATAACTCTGATTTGCTTTTTTACATAATTGTGCCCCTTTTTCGACTTAGAAATTGTTGGTTAAGTTTTTGCGTGTAAGCTGGTATCTCCATAACTACTGAAGGGAATGGATTGAAACTTCACACACTTGTTCTCTGTGATTATCTAAGATAATTGGCACAAGTCCCATAACACTGATTTGCTTTTTTACATAATTATGCCCCTTTTTCGACTTAGAAATTCTTGGTTAAGTTTTTGCATGTAAGCTGGTATCTCCATAACTACTGAAGGGAATTGAATGAAACTTCACACACTTGTTCTCTGTGATTATCTAAGATGATTGGCACAAGTCCCATAACTCTAATTTGCTTTTTAATATAATTATGGCCCTTTTTCGACTTAGAAATTCTTGGTTAAGTTTTTGCGTGTAAGCTGGTATCTCCATTACTACTAGAGGGAATGGATTGAAACTTCACACACTTGGTCTCTGTGATTATCTTAGATGATTGGTACAAGTCCCATTACTCTGATTTGCTTTTTTGCATAATTATGCCCCTTTTTCGACTCATAAATTCTTGGTTAAGTTTTTGCATGTAAGCTTGTATCTCCATAACTACTGAAGGGAATGTATTGAAACTTGAAGAGTTTGTACCTTTTCGGACAATTTTATGTATTCATATAGGTAAGCATTATTATACTCAATGAAACACCCTTGTGACAAATTTTCGAATAGTCGAGCGTTACTGTCCTCCGACAGTTCTTGTTAGCTCGACTATTCGCAGAATAATCGAGCTAATGCAGTCACCCATTTGTCGGCGTCGGCGTCAGCGTCCCTGTGGTTAAGTTTTTGCATGTAAGCTGGTATCTCTATAACTACTGAAGGGAATGGATTGAAACTTCACACACTTGTTCTCTGTGATTATCTAAGATGATTGGCACAAGTCCCATAACTCTGATTTGCTTTTTTTCATAATTATGCCCCTTTTTCGACTTAGAAATTCTTGGTTAAGTTTTTGTATGTAAGCTGGTATCTCCTTAACTACTGAAGGGAATGGATTGAAACTTCACACACTTGTTCTCTGTGATTATCTAAGATGATTGGCACAAGTCTCATAACTCTGATTTGCTTTTTTTCATAATTATGCCCCTTTTTCAACTAAGAAATTCTTGGTTAAGTTTTTGTATGTAAGCTGGTATCTCCTTAACTACTGAAGGGAATGGATTGAAACTTCACACACTTGTTCTCTGTGATTATCTTAGATGATTGGCACAAGTCCCATAACTCTGGTTTGCTTTTTTTCATAATTATGCCCCTTTTTCGACTTAGAAATTCTTGGTTAAGTTTTTGTATGTAAGCTGGTATCTCCATAACTACCGAAGGGAATTGATTGAAACTTCACACACTTGTTCTCTGTGATTATATAAGATGATTAGCACAAGTCCCATAACTCTGATTTGCTTTTTTACATAATTGTGCCCCTTTTTCGACTTAGAAATTGTTGGTTAAGTTTTTGCGTGTAAGCTGGTATCTCCATAACTACTGAAGGGAATGGATTGAAACTTCACACACTTGTTCTCTGTGATTATCTAAGATAATTGGCACAAGTCCCATAACTCTGATTTGCTTTTTTACATAATTATGCCCCTTTTTCGACTTAGAAATTCTTGGTTAAGTTTTTGCATGTAAGCTGGTATCTCCATAACTACTGAAGGGAATTGAATGAAACTTCACACACTTGTTCTCTGTGATTATCTAAGATGATTGGCACAAGTCCCATAACTCTAATTTGCTTTTTAATATAATTATGGCCCTTTTTCGACTTAGAAATTCTTGGTTTAAGTTTTGCGTGTAAGCTGGTATCTCCATTACTACTAGAGGGAATGGATTGAAACTTCACTCACTTGGTCTCTGTGATTATCTAAGATGATTGGTACAAGTCCCATTACTCTGATTTGCTTTTTTGCATAATTATGCCCCTTTTTCGACTCATAAATTCTTGGTTAAGTTTTTGCATGTAAGCTTGTATCTCCATAACTACTGAAGGGAATGTATTGAAACTTGAAGAGTTTGTACCTTTTCGGACAATTTTATGTATTCATATAGGTAAGCATTATTATACTCAATGAAACACCCTTGTGACAAATTTTCGAATAGTCGAGCGTTACTGTCCTCCGACAGTTCTTGTTTCTGGTATTGTGAGAATATCTCAGTGTTACTGATAATATATTGCAGTTATTCCAATTCTGGTTGGTACCAGTCTGATGTAAATGTACACATGCTTAATGTATGCATAAGTAAGCATCTTCTTACATAATATTTCTCAAAGCTAATTTGATTTGTTTTATTTTATAAAGGGGTTCAGCTGTTTCAAAGCTAGCAGGAGAAAGTGCATTGGCTCAAAATGAAAAGTTTGAGAGGAGAGTCAACATGTATGTGTATGAGGAAAACTATGAGGGGAGGAAACTCACAGAGGTTATCAATGAGAAACATGAGAATGTTAAATATCTACCTGGTATAAAGCTACCAGAAAATGTGGTAAGCAGTTTATGATACATGATATTTATGATACACAGAGGATATTTGTTTTTGTGTAAGATGAAATTTTGTTTTATTGAATGTGCTTCAAAAACAGTGTTTTCATAAGTGGTGTATAGTATAATGCATTTACCTTTTGAGTGTATAGTGTTCTTGAGTAGTGTAATGACCCTTGATTTGTGTTGTTTCTTGATTTTGAAATCCAAAATATTAAGAAAAATATAGATCAAAGCAATTCTACTGGATGTCTGATACTCCCAATGCAACATAACTTCTTTTTCCCAAAATGGTACCAACTGGGAAGGTTTGCCAAAAATCAAACTGTTTTTACTTCTGAGATAATTTGAACTTGTCTTTTAAACTGTTTTTTTCTTAGAAGTTACTTATGTAATCAAACATGTGGACAAAACTTAAATAGGGTAAATCCCGGTAAATACGGACAATTCGGTAAATACGGACGCGAGCAACATAAATATCATTATCACCAGCGCTTGACAAACTGTAATGTCTATTAATGACGATGTCGCTTCTTTTAATATTCATGTTCGAATATATTTAACAGTGATGATGTCATAAGGTATGTATGACGTCATTTCCTTTCTTTTAAACCAACCATCTACGCTTCCAGGCTATTTTTTTCAACATTTAAATCGAAGATATACCAGTCACCTTGGTTTTGAGGTCTCAGTTTTGAATTTATTGTATAGCCTTCTCTTTAAATTTGATAGATTTTTCTTAAATTACATTTATTTTTTTGAAAAATGTACTTGCACAAGACATTTTAAGATTAACTAAATAGATATTTGCAAAAAATAAATCGTCCGTATTTTTCCTACGACTTTTTCTTCAGTACTGAAAATACGGACAACCTGATCGAAGAGCAATTACGAGATTCAAATAAAAAAAATAAAGGCATTTTCTCAATTTTCAATGCATAGAACTGACAATGTTTTATAACAATAAACAACTACTCTTAATCTATGTTATAATCATTGCACGCGCGCTGAATTTCAAACCTGATCCTTAATATGGGCTATAATTACAAGGCCACTTCCTCAAGGCGACTTCATCATGCTAAATTTATACCATTTTAATCTGTTTCTAATTAACCTATTATTCAAACATATCTTAATCAAACCTCTTATATCTGAGTCTGTCAAAAGTACATATTTATTTCCCTTTGCTCTTCCCTCTTTGACAATTTTCATTATATATAATTATATTATTTCATCATCCCAACCATTACTTCTTTTACAGGATGCCTTAAAAGTATACTTATAAAAATAGGGGGAAAACTATGAAATATGAACAAACGTCCCTAGAAAACGCCGTTCGAGCCGTTGAAGCCGGGATGTCGGTACGAAATGCGGCAAAACAGTTTAATGTGCCGAGGTCAACCATCGGTGACCGCAAGTCCGGAAAGCATGGTCTGAACACAAGTCATGGCAGACCACCAGCATTACCTGCTACTGTAGAAGCAAAAATTGTAGGTAGCATAAAGGCAGCTGCTAAACTTGGAGTTGGCCTTAGCCGTAAACAAATCTTGAGAAGAACACATGTGTTGTGCGACCGGCTTAAGATTAAGTCCAGTTATAATGACTTCAAAGCTGGAAAAGCATGGTTTGAAGGCTTAAGGTGACAACGGAGTCAATTATCACTGAAAATGCCTAAAATGAGATTTTTTGCTAAGTCGATTTATCAACCTTTTCTGAACACATTCGTGATTTAATTTTGGAAGTAGTTAGTCCAAAAAATGTGTTTTTAAACGTTTTAAAACGGTACCTGTACCATTTTTATCTGCTATTCGCGTAACCTGTCAATTATCGATAACGCTCCGCCCCCTGTTGAGGCATCAATGAGGGAAATCGGTAGTTCCATATATGCGTGAATTACCGGTCCATACTGGTCCATACTACCCGTAATTCATGTATCGTACAAATACCGTACATCTTTTATGAATATCGTCTACCTTTTATTTAGCCTTTTTTTTTTATAAAATAAGAAATTGTCGGCCAATGTACGTAACATAATATATGAAACATAAATATATAGCGGCAAATCGCACGACCACGTGGTTGATGCTAAAATATCCATAATGTGTGAAAATAATTTGTCTGTCCCGTTAATCTGATAGATATTACATTGAGTTTATGGACTTTTGTACGGATTCAAGGGCTTGCTTTACATTCAACCTCGTTTTCTAACAATGTCAAGTAAAACAACAACAAAACAGACAACATTTTTTATGTGAACGCCTATATGACTTGTGGTAATTTAAGGTGTCCCTGACAAATTTCTAAACCATTTTAGGTTGTCTAAGGATGATTATTTCTCTATGAATCAATAAAAAAGATAATAAAATACGAGTATATTATCAGTGAATGCTTTGAATAAATTGTTCGCCAGTAAAACGAACACAGTACTAATAAACCTGGAACAAATTATGGAATTTATTGTATATCCCAGTAGAAACTGGATCTCTATGCCGTGCATAAATGATTTTCATGATCATAGAAGTCAAGAAGGTCAGATCATAATGATCGAGTGATACCTTTTATTTCTATTAAAATATGTTAAGCATTTATATCAATTTGGAGGAAAAAATATATAATATCCCGTTCTACCGTGGATTTTAAAAAGACCGTCAGAAGCTCAGTTTTTTGTTATTTTAATTTATATTTTAACGGAATTTCATACACGAATTCACAGACAGAGTGACACTGGTGTAATATAATAATAATGCCGATGATAATAATAATAAAAATAATAAACTTCAAAAGTGAAACAATTAAATACCCCGCTACGTTCCATTCCCCCCACCGAGTGCCTCAAATTTTACCGAAAGTCACGTGACATGTGCGACCGATATCAGACGGAAGGTAAATCACGTTAAGATTTGAAGATATTTCTGTTATAAATTGATATTAATCAGCAACTTTTTAATTGGTCAGATGTCACTGGGTCATAAAATGTTGTTAGAGTATGTTACCGCAACTTGTGACCCTCTCTGGTGCGATATTTGTGTATTATGCAATTATTTAGCGTGAAACGTAGGGGTCCGAGAGAGAACAGCCGATTTATGACACTTCGTTTGATGCGGGTCGGACTAACTTTGAATCGGCATAACTTTTTTAATAATCAAGCAATTAACATGCGGTTTAAAGCACATGAAAGGGAATTCATTTACGGAGGGAACCGTGTCAGGGATTTTTGTTTGCTCAATCAGCGACTTAATTATCTTTAATTACGTAATATGTATGGTGAAAAAAGTCGCATAAAATGTTTGACGTTACGTAATATTTTTTTGAGAAAAGATAGAAAAAATTTGAGACACGGTTCCCCAGATATTATAAGTATGTTTATTTTCCAAAAGTTTGATGACAAAAAAATAAAAAATAACTTTGATATGACGATTTAAAATTTTAGGATTTTTATTAAAATTCAATCATTTACAAAGGCATTATTTTCAAATATGTTATTTTTTATGATGATCAACGACATTTAATGCACAAAGATTAAATAAATAACAATTATTACTAAAATAAGTTGGTTTAAATGACATTTATGTGAGTACCACAGAAAGTGTCTGTTGTCACCTTAAAGCGCCGATTCCCGGACCTTGTTTTGAGAAAGCCCGAAAAATTGTCTTCCGTAAGGGCACGCATGTTAAATCCAGAAGTGCTTGGAAAGTACTTTGGTACACTAGAGTCAGTTGTTGCTGCAAATAATCTGCTGGATAAGTCGCAATACATCTGGAATTGCGATGAATCCGGCTTTAATATGGAGCATAATCCAGTCAAGATTTACGCTGAAAAAGGAGAGAAATCAGTTGTGAGCAGGACCAGTAACAAGTCATCAAATATTACGTTGATGGCTTGCGTTAACGGTGCAGGTGATCGCATGCCTCCCATGTTTATTACCAAAGGCAAAACCAAACGGTCTTTACTCGGATTCAATACCCTTGGAGCGCCTGATAATTCTGTATGGACGTTTCAACAGAATGGATGGATAACAGATGACATTGCTGAAGAGTGGTTTGACACAGTTTTTCTGAAACACTGTGGTCCTGATCGCCCGCAGCTTCTCATAATGGATGGCCATGGGTCGCATGAGAGTTTGGCTATAATAGAGCGGGCTATTGAAGAGAATATTGTCCTCCTAAGTTTACCACCCCATTGTACCCATTTTCTCCAACCCTTAGACCGCACAGTCTTTGGGCCGTTGAAAAAGGCATACAATGATGCATGTTCTTCTTTTTTGCAGGAAAATGTTCTACATGTAGTTGACAAATGGACATTTCCTGCTCTATTCTCACTTGCTTGGGAGAAAGCTGTGTCATCAACGAATGTACAAAATGGTTTTAGAGCCTGTGGTATTGTACCTCTCAATAGACGCGCAGTGCCAACAAGGGCTTTCTGTCCAAGTAAGCTTACTGATCAACCCGTCACTCGACCTGTTTCAGCTTCAGCAAATGTCTCCTCTGAAGACGTTGTCAGTCCGCCCGAGCCTGTATTAGCATCACAAAATATGCCCGTTAAACAAGTTGTTAGTTCGCTTAAGTCTGTTATAGTTTCGGAAAATATCTCTTATGTACAAGTTGTCCCTCCACCAGAGCCTGTTTTAGCACTAGGCATATTTCCATAGAGGAAGTGAGTATGCCGGCTCCGATCAATGAATCCCCCGAAGAAGTCACAATGCCTTTTACAAGTGTCTCATTCGATGGTGACAATCTGTCTTCTTCTGGCAGCTCACTTGCTCCAATTTTAGATATAAGTGAACCTGGTCAGTTAATGAGTCTACTTGCCACCGGCGATGTCATTGTCATGGATATTATTCCTGAGGAAGAGGAAATTTCTGTTAACAGCAGCATCGACGCACTTTTTCTACCACCACAAATTGAAAAACGTTCAGAGTCTGTAGAAAAGCGTCGCTCTAAGCCGACAAGTCATAAATTGCTTACCAGCATAGAGGTTTTGGAGCAGAAACGGGCATTGATAGAGAAAAAATGTCAAAAAGAAAATAAAAAGGCAAAAAGGGGCCGTGCTCTGAAAAAAATTACAAAAACTGAAAAATAACTGACATTTCCATACAGTTTAATCCTGGATGAATCATAAACAGATTGATAATGAAAAAAACTTCCAAAGAGGTTGTTTTATTATTTTATAATCATACTCTTGTGGTACACTTGTATATTTAAACTTTTACCCTGCGAGTGTTTTTGTACAAATAATTAAATTATTTGTGTATTTGATATTTAAGTCTAACAGGCATATATGAATTACTTTGTCTATAGTAATAATTGTATTTAACGGACAAATTAATGGGAATTTATACTATAGATGTTAATATTTGAGTAAATAATACTTTAGTAAATGCACAAAATTTTTATGTTCTAACAAATTTTTTATTGTCAATGAAATTATATATCTCGTGAATATACGTTGATGTGTTCTTTTTTCTATTTCCTATTTTTTTTAAAACGACCAATGTGTCCGTATTTTCCCTATCGCTAAGTACTATGTCCGTATTTACGTAACACCTGTCCGCATTTTCAGTACTGTGTCCGTATTTACCAATTTCTACACGGAGCATAAAAAATATTAATACCGCAACGTTTTGGTCCAGAAACGTATTTGTTCAAATGAAAATGACCGAGGAATATGTATTTACAAATAGTAACATCAACGAATAACAGATAACGTAACTCTTCTGCCTATCAGAAAGCTTCTAAAGAATGTCATTCAAAATCTGTCCGTATTTACCGGGATTTACCCTACATGTGCATGGTAGTTTTTTCAACTTTATAGAAATTTCTCTAATTTTCAAAAATGCCACATAGTTTGTCCCAATTTAAATCAGGTGCCTTTATTAAGAAATAGCTGGAAAAGGTTCTGTAAACAGTGGAAATAGCTCCAGATTCAAAACAAGAAAATTCCTTAATATTATTAATCATCATCAATGGCAGAGAAAAATTCAACATTTTTTTATAAATTTAAAAGTCTCTTTATTGCAGGGACTGTTCTGTTCTGTTGATTTTACAATTTCATGCATTGACAGGTAGCTGTTCCAGATGTTGTTGAAGCCAGTAAGAATGCTGATGTTCTTATATTTGTAATGCCCCACCAGTTTGTGAGGAAAACATGTCATCTTATGAAGGAACATATCAAAAAGACTGCTTTAGCTGTTTCTCTCATCAAGGTAACCTTGAAAATTTAAAATATCATTTAGGCCATCCTTAAAAAATGTTTGTTTGCAGTAACCCGACCCAGAATTTTCAAGGTGGGTAGGTAGGTCGATTTTTTTTTTTTTTAATTGAACTGTACTCCCAAATAAACATGGAATTTCAAAATGCTTGACAATATATGCTTTGATAATCTGGTAACAATTAATAAATTGATAACTGAATTCTAATTTAATAAGACCTACATTTTATTTCTTCTATTAACCTTTAAAAGAACGAAAACAAAGCACAAGGCATAATTTTCTGATTAAAAAAAAAAAATATTTTTTATCCAGACCATGAAAAAAGATTTTGAGTAGGGGCAAATTTGTGAGTCGGTCGCGTTACTGCAAACGAACATTTTTTTAAGGATGGCCCTATTGCAGGATGTAGAATTTAGTAAACTGTAAAAGTTTGATAATGAATAAAAATGATTAATTCATATTGTCCAAAGATGCTCTTATTGCTTTTGCTTGTTTGAAATAGAGCTGTAACATATTTTTTTAAAGACAATGTATTTCAATGTTTGATAGTAAAAGTCTTGACTAGATGTCTTGAACTCAACATGAAGTCCATGGGTTATACATGTATTAATGTTGTAACAGTATCTGTTAATCACTTGATAATATTGGTGTGTTTTCTTTTTTTGTTTGTTTTGTTTTTAGCTCGACTATTCGAAGAATATGAGAGCTATTGTAGTCGCCCCGGCGTCGGCGTCGGCGTCAGCGTCCGCGTCGGCGTCTGCGTTGGTTAAAGTTTTTTGTAAAGTCAAATATCTCAATTATTACTTGTGATATTCAATTGAAACTTACAATAGTTATTTATAGTAACAAGGTACATCAGATTGACAAGTTGGATAACTCTGCCTACAATATTGACAGAATTATGCCCCTTTTTAACTTAGAAATTTTGGTTAAAGTTTTTTGTAAAGTCAAATATCTCAATTATTGCTTGAGATATTCAATTGAAACTTACAATACTTATTTATAGTAACAAGGTACATCAGATTGACAAGTTTGATAACTCTGCCTACAATATTGACAGAATTATGCCCCTTTTTAACTTACAAATTTTGGTTAAAGTTTTTTGTAAAGTCAAATATCTCAATTATTGCTTGAGATATTCAATTGAAACTTACAATACTTATTTATAGTAACAAGGTACATCAGATTGACAAGTTGGATAAATCTGCCTACAATATTGACAGAATTATGCCCCTTTTTAACTTAAAAATTTTGGTTTAAGTTTTTTGTAAAGTCAAATATCTCAATTATTGCTTGAGATATTCAATTGAAACTTACACTACTTATTTATAGTAACAAGGTACATCAGATTGACAAGTTGGATAACTCTGCCTACAATATTGACAGAATAATGCCCCTTTGGAACTTAGAAATTTTGGTTAAAGGTCTTCAAAGATATTTACTTGAAACTTTACACATGCATGTAGGGTCATAATTGGAGGGTCATAATTGTATGTCACTGACCAAGTTCCATAACTCTATCTTGCATTAAGGCTGATTCATATCCCCTTTTCTACTTAGTCTCTTGGTTAATGTTTACATGCAAGTTTACATATCTCAATAACTATTAAAGATATTTATTTAAAACTTCACATATGCATTTAGAGTCATAATTGTAGTTCACTGACAAAGATCCATAATTCTATCTTGCATTTAGGCTGATTTTTCTCCCCTTTTTTAACTTAGAAATTCATGGTAAAGTTTTGCTTGTAAGCTGTTATCTCAATGACTACTGAAGGGTTTTTTGCCTTTTTTGGGACAATTTAAGCATTAATAATAATAAAGCTGTGATTTACTTAATAAAACATCTTAATAACAAGCCTTTGTACCTTTTCTGTCAAATTTATGTATTCATAGGTAATTAGTATTATTATACTCAATAAAACACCCTTGTGACATTACCTTCCGAATAGTCAAGCCAATACTGTATAATTAGACTCTCTCCAAGGCCTATAACTTGAATTTATAAAAAAAAATTAGCCCTTTTGTGAACTTAAAAAACTTAACATTATCAAGGCTCTTTTACTATCAAGCACTTAGAATAGTCGAGCGTGCTGTCCTTCGGACAGCTCTTGTTTTCTTTGCATTAACTTTTGTTGTCATTTCATAAATATTTTCTTAACAACATTGCCTTCAACAAGGAATGTATTGTACATTACTTGGCTACAATTCAGTACTTAACAATTTTCAGACTTTCATTTAAGTGGAATGAATGACAAACAATATATGGCAATGATCATGGATATAACGAATTTGGTGTACAAAACAGACTACATGCTCATGCCATGAAAAATAGACTAAACAAATTGCAATACATAATGATTCCACCATCATTCTGTTTGCCTCTTTTTCTTCATAATTTTCGGCACTTTTTTTCTCAACATTTCGGGAATGCCACCAATACCACTTGAATTGGGGAAAAATGTGTTGTTAAAAGTTCAAATTTGTAATTTCAGAGTAACTAATGGAAGTAACTGAACTTGTCTTGAATAAAAGAATAGTTTTTATTTTTGTTAATAGGGAATTTATGGTTTTCTAAACTAGGAAGAAAACATAAGTTTTGGCACTGGGAAAGCCTCCATTTACCATTTGTAGCTTTATATAGAAAATTAAATGACCGGTTTACAAAAAAAAAATTACTGGGTTTATAAAATCATAATTTATTTCAGGGTTTTGATTTGCATCCTGAGACAAAAGGTAAAATAGCAATGATTTCCAATTTGATCGAGGACATTCTTGGTATAGATTGTTGTGTTTTAATGGGGGCCAATGTAGCACCAGAAGTGGCTAAAGAACAATTTTGTGAAACTACTATAGGTAAGTTTTTAATTCCATATTTATACAAAGGCTAACAAGTGCATAATATAAACTCACTGACTTCAATAACTTCATTATTTTGATTGAATATTTTATTTTATATACTCAAGACTTACGAGTATCTTTCTATCTTACAATTTAACTAGGCACCTCTTTCAAGGTTGAAAAGTTTTTTTTATGCTGGAATATATATTTGCCCTTGTCTCTCTGTCATATTGGTTAACCTGGACTGACAAAACATGGAACTGTTTTGTATTTTAACAATTTTAAGGTAATAATTGAGATAATAAAAAATTTAATACAATTTCTTTTTACATTCATTATAGGATGCAAAACTAAAGAGCAGGGATATCTCCTTAGGTCTATTTTTGAGAAGCCATATCTACGAGTAAAACTTTGTTTTGATATAGATACTGTAGAAATGTGTGGAGCTCTTATAGTAAGTACAACAGCGTAACTGTTACTAGATTACGGTGTAGATAATGTTATATCTCTCATTTTTTTGGAAGTATTTTGCTGTTTAAAATAGTGACTTCAAGTTTATTTGAAGAAACTTAAAGCTGTGAGACTTATGTAAGTGTTTTGTTTTATTTTGAAAAACTATAGTTATTATTTATTTGAAACTTTAGAAATGTGTGATATACTCAACCAGTTTCAACTTGCAGATTTTATAGGACAGGATTTATAATCTTGATATCGTATCAGACTCTACCCAGTCAGTAAGAGAGTAAGTGCTATCCATGCACATTTTGAACAACACAAATTTTGTTTGTTTTATAGTATGATATAACATGAACTGTATCATCTGTCGGTGTATTACAGAACGTTATAGCTATTGGTGTGGGTATAGTTGATGGTATGCGTCAAGGTCACAATACTAAAGCAGCTGTTTTACGACTCGGTCTCATGGAGATGGTGAAGTTTGGGGAACTATTCATACAAGGTACACACTGTATTTGATGCTATAAGATATGTATTTGTAGATTAAATTTGTTTTCTTTTTCCCTTTATTTTCTTATCTGATAAATGTCCTTTCAGTTGCTTTGCTCTCAGCAGGTTGATATTAAATTAATTTCAAAGTAAATGAATAACAATGAATAAGAAAATGTGTCTGGTAATTGTCTTTAGATTGCTATTAATGAAAATCATTTTTCTTTAGTTTTCAAGGTTTTATTACTTTATCATTATGATGGATTTTAGATTGTCAGAAGATCACATTTTTTGAGAGTTGCGGAATGGCTGACCTTGTAGCAACATGTTATGGTGGCCGCAACAGAACATTAGGAGAAAATGTTGTCAATTCAGATAAGGTATGTTTAATTATGCCCCCGCCATGGGCAATTAGTGTTACCCTCTTCCGTCATTCCGCCATTCTGTCATTCCGTCATCATCAGTTTCCGTTCATTAGTAACTTAGTAACGGTTGCACACATTCAACTGAAATTTGACATATGGATATGTCATGAGAAAATACAGTTCAAGTTCGAATTTGGTCATGGTTTGATGATTTTTTGGCAGAGTTATGCCCCTTTTACTTTAAAATAATATGAAATTTTCAGTTTCCGTTCATTATCTCCCCAACGGTACAACACATTCAACTCAAACTTGACATATGGATATGTCATGATAAAATACAGGTCAAGTTCGAATTTGGTCATGGTTCGATGATTTTTGGAAGAGTTATGCCCCTTTTACTTTGAAAATAATATGAAATTTTCAGTTTCCGTTCATTATCTCCCCAACGGTACAACACATTCAACTCAAATTTGACATATGGATATGTCATGATAAAATACCAGTCAAGTTCGAATTTGGTCATGGTTAGATGATTTTTGGAAGAGTTATGCCCCTTTTACTTTGAAAATAATATGAAATTTTCAGTTTCTGTTCATAATCTTCCCAACGGTACAACACATTCAACTCAAACTTGACATATGGATATGTCAAAGGAATGCGCAGGTCAAGTTCAAATTTGGTCATGGTTCAATGATTTTTAGCAGAGTTATGCACCTTTCACTTTGAAAATAATATGAAATTTTCAGTTTCTGTTTATTATCTCCCCACCGGTACAACACATTCAACTCAAATTTGACATATGGATATGTTTTTGGAATGCCCAGGCCAAGTTCAAATTTGGTCATGGTTCAATGATTTTTGGCAGAGTAAAGCCCCTTTCACTTTGAAAATAATATGAAATTTACAGTTTCTGTTCATTATCTACCCAACAGTGTTACATATTCAACTCAAATTTGACATATGGATATGTCAAAGGAATGGGCAGGTCAAGTTGGAATTTGGTCATGGTTCGATAATTATTTGGCAGAGTTATGTCCCTTTCACTTTGAAAATATAATAGATACATCTTAGGAATAAGCAGTTTAAGTTTGAATTTGGTCGTGGTTCAATGATTTTGGACAAACTTATCTTTCTTGAATGTTGGAAAAATTTTGAACTTCCAGTTTCAGCACTCATACTTTTGTGGAAATGTATGTAGCCATTATTTTGCTACAAATATGAAATATGCTATTTTCAAAAGGTTAAGACTGAATAATTTCAGTGCCTTGAACATTGTATGGAAATGGTTTGTGTTAACATTGAAAAGTTTTAAGGGCTTTGAACTTAAAATGAAAAAAATAATTTGTGCAAACAAATTTGGAACTAAATATTATAACATCTGAAATTTTGGCTGCATGCGGGGGCATCTGTGGCATGATGACACATTTCTAGTTAGATGACATTCAAGATTTCTTACAGTGATGCTTCAGTCACATGAAGTTGTTACATAACTCATTCTGATTTGATCTACATGTCAAACCTGTTGATGAAGACACATATTTGGAATAGTGTTCTTTGTTGTCCTTTGGTGCCGTAAGGGTGTCCATTGCCCAGTGGTTAACTTGGTTGACTTCAAACCACTTGCCCCTCACTGCTGTAGGTTCAAAACCTGACGGGGACTTTAGGTTCTTTCATGGTAGGAAGCCATCCAGCTAGCTTACAGAATGTCAGTGGTTCAACTCAGGTCCCTGTATGTGCCTGAAATAATGCACAGAGGAGCACCTTAGGTCCTCCTCTGCCAGTAAAGCTGGAAAGTTGCAATATTACATGATTAACTGTATTGGTGCGACATAATTCCCAACCAAACAAATATAATAAAAATAGTGTTATAGCCCTTTTGCACTAAACCTTTGATTTACTATTTGACTGTATATGTTGTAAAAGAAGCTTACATAGTCAGAGGAATAAGCTTGTGTCCTAGTCTAATTATTAAGGTCAAATGGATAAGTTTTACTGTAGGTGAAAGTCCCTCACTGCATCATTTCTGGCAGGAGGTTGAACTCACTGTATAATTTCCTAAAATGAAAGAATTGAAAATCTCTTGTTGAATTTGAACCTAGAGGACTGATGGACTGGTAAGTGATTTGCAAAGTCCACTAAGGCCTTAGAGGTCCCTTTCTCTTTTCTTTTCAAAATTTGAAATAAAATTTTATCATTTCAGTCTATAGATCAACTAGAAAAGGATATACTCAGAGGACAAAGTTTCCAAGGTCCTTTAGTAGCCAAAGAAATTCATGAAATTCTTGTTGAAAGAAATATAGTGGACAGGTAAGAAATTGATAAAAAAAACTTGTTTGAAATTTCATATATAAAGTGGAATTTCCAGAATTCTAAAGATTATTGTAAGGATTATGACAAAACATGACTTATATTTTATTTGGGAGTTTAAAAACTTGAAACTTATTGGAACAAATCCCTTGTCTGCTTGCTGGAACAAACCAGTACTGATGTCATATGAGGAAACATGGCTGGGATCCCAATAGGGCTTGGACCCATGATCCCTGTGTTGATAGGCAGACACCTTAATGACTGGACCATTGCCCTTTATATTTTGGAGTGTCACATATATTCATGTGTCAATTCAAGAGATGATAAGGGATTTTTACAACTGATTTTCATATATTTATCTCCCTTGATATGCAATTACTGTCTTAAAGTAAATTTCTTGGTACTACAGGATATGATGGTGATTATTAGTAAAGGTCAGATCTGAATTATAAGATTTAAATTCAAATTGACAATGCTCTTTTGGAAATTTTTCATTTCTAAAGCTAATGAAAGACAGAATCCTTTTTGAAAAGCAATTCATAGCACACACTTTTATGTTTTTCTTTTAAATTGTACATTTCAGATATGTTAAAATTGATCTATTTACAAACAAATCAAACAAAATATAATTTAGATGACCTTTCACAATAATGGTTGTCATGATTTTTTGAATTAAATGACCTCTATCACTGATGACCCCTATATTTGTGGCTTTAATCAAATATGATAAATGACCTTAAGCACTGGTGCCATTAAAATTGATAGCTTTTATTGGTTTGTACAGAATTTATTTTAGTTTGATTGTGTAGAAAGCTAATAGCTTACAGACACAAACTTAATTATTACCTCCTGAAACCAACCATTATTAAGCAATGAGTGTAAAGTTTCTTGCTCTGCTCAAGGAAAGAACAGCTTGTCCCTGATGGGGTTTGAACCAACATGGCGAGTGATTCTTGGACTACTAATCTGATGCTTTAACTTCTTGACCATGCAGCCGAAGCTCACTTGGCCATGCCAAAAACAACAGCCATAGAAACTTTTATCACTGATGAGCTTGTTATGTATGACCTATTTTTTTGTTGACCTTTATCATTGACGACCTTTGTCATAAATGACCTTCATCACTAATGACCTATATATTGATGATGTTTGTTTTTTCAGATTTCCCCTGTTTACAGCTATTTACAAGATCTGTTATGTGTTTGTTATTTCAGATTTCCCCTGTTTACAGCTATTTACAAGATCTGTTATGAAGATATGAAGCCTACAGAGTTTATAGACTGTCTTCGTCATCATCCCGCTCATAAATTCTCCAGAAAATCTCGCCCTTCTATTTTCTTCTATTGATATGTTGTGTCCGTCCATGCTATATATAGATATTTATATGTAGAAGACTTGTCCGTAGCATACAGGGTTTTGCTTCTAATTTTAGAATGGCTTTCTAAGAAGTCCTAAAGATGCGTTATTTTTTATAGCAGTGTTCTAACCAAAAAGTTTATCAGAGTTATCAAATTGTCATATTTGTGATACATTTAATCCACCTTGAGAAGGTAAAGTTGTAAAGAGGAGATATCTAGAAGTAGAAAAATTTTATGGATATTTGGGAAAAAATCGTCATCGAAAATTGAACATTCAAATTAATTGGTAGGAGGAATGTATAGAAATAGCATGAATAACTTTATACTTTTAAGTTTATTCTGCATCTTGGACATTCAAATAGTATCTTCATAACTAGATATTGTCTATTTTGTGTAAAAAATAAACTGTACAATTTGTTAAAATCTTAAAAACAACAACAGTTTAATCAATAAACATAACTCCGAACTGACAAGCATCCTATTGTTGAGATAATTGATGATGTATTTTTGAATGTTGTTAACACAAATTGCACATGCACATTATACAGTTAAAGTCTGTGTAAAACCTAATTTTGTAATTTTTGGACAACTTTGCTGATACAGAATGTCCCATTGTTTAAAGGTAATATTATTCTGATGTTATTAATTAAGATACTGTTTCATTTACAAATAAATGTACATTTGTATATTTAGGTAGATTATTTTATCTATAATTAATAAAGTGATCTTTTATACACAAATGGATATGGTTTTTAAAGGTATATTTGTAAATTTATATATTTATGTTATTGTTGACCAGTTAGTTTACATTTAAGTGTCATATTGTATAGTGCTATTGTTCCATTTATATTGGAAGGGCCTTTGTTTTTAAGGTCACTGTCCTCAAATCCCCTGCATCTCTTTCTTGTTGGTTTAAATCTCCACAGGGATATGGATTTCTTTTTTATCTATGTTAATGTACTGATTTTCCTGAACTAGTTTTGCTGAGAAGACAGCATAAGAGCTTGGAAAATATTTTGTTTTACATGAAACCAGTTACACAGCACCCCTATGCCATATTCCCTTCATGTTTCTGTTGTTATGCAAAGATCCTTAGAGTTTCAAATCTTAACTTTTATATTTTGTACATGTCTATAATGTGACTGATACATAGGCATAAATGAGATAAACAGACTTTTGTTATTTTTTCCTTTCTCAAAACCATTTTTAAAGCAATTGGTTTGTTTGAACATGTAGAAGCAAGAATGTTTGTAGCTCTATGCAAGTGTGACTTGAAGTGTAGATGGGGAAAAGAGGATTGTCTCCCTTTGTTAAGACTGAGTAAATTTAGTAAATTTGTATAATGTACTTGTCCAGCTTTGAGTGAAGAAATGCCCATTATATTTAATTTTAAGGGTTTGAATATGAAAAAGGTACAGACAGGCTATAGAGCTTATGTGAATGCTCTGACGTGGTTTGGAACTTGGCATGGTAATGTACATGTATACTAGTATCATAAGTGTTAATAGCGCTTAACTGGTTAAAAAACAAGCTTGAAAGTTGAATTGAAACATGTTTGTTGAATTTGTGCTTTGTTAAGTTTAGCAAAACATGCAGTGAAAGTTGAATTGAAACATGTTAGTTGATTATTTGTTCTCTGTTAAGTTGAGCAAAACCTGTGTTAATTAAAGATAAAAATTTGCTCTCCATAGAGGTGCCACCTACATGTTAGGTCTTACCTAAGAATACTTTTACTGTTCAGTAATGAAATATAAAAAAAGTCAGAATTACTAGAATTTTGTAGGGGTTTTGAGTGTGTAAAAACAGATTTTTTATTAGCTGTTTAGAATTGAGTTTTTGTGATCACAAGATTTTCATCATTATCCACAATATCTTTAATAATATCATTTTGTGTGAATAAATTATGTATCCAAGGTGAGCAACTCTTAGGCCATCATGACTCTAACACACTCTGATACACAAAATCTGTTGATAATAATTATATTAGTTGACATATTATATCTAAGATGTTGATGGGTGAATCATGTTAATTTTAGATTTTATTGGTGTTATCTGCCCTTGTTTTTCAATGCCATGTTAAAACAAACTATAGGTATACTTTCACTGTTTTGTCATGTTTATATCACTTTGATAGCCTTACAAGGTTCCATTTATTTGAGCTTTTTTGCCAGAAATGTTTTCTACACACTTTTTAACAGCATTTACTTTATTTTTAACTTGTCGTGCTTAAAGAATTATTTGTTGTCTTAAGTCTGTCAGCCATGCAGCTATTTTATTTTGTGTTTTTCTTATGTCAGACCCATTTATGAATTACTGATTTAATTCTGTTACATCCGATCTGAATCAATTATTTTTAAAAGTTGCAGGTGAAGATATTTTCTGTTTTGGACAATACATTGGTAAATAACCTATTTATTTCTAAATCCAAATGAAAAGTATTGAAGCAGCACAAAATTCTAGACTACTAAATGATATATTTTTGTAAGTTGCTGTCAATGCTGTATTTCGATAGTATTTTCAATATTTTTTTCTTTTAACGACATTATATCTTGCTTGGTATGGAAAAGCTTATATGGACTCGTTCACTGTCCAATTTTAAAAAAAATATTGCCTTCTGCAGATTATATTATAGGAAATATTGGCTTGTCACAATGTAATGATTCAAAAGCAGGGATCATGTATAGGTAATTGTTATAGAATAACATATACATGTATTAATGTTTTGAAAATCATACTGCATGGTTTCCTTTTTTATCAAATTAGTATATATGAAGTATTTTCTATTTTCAATCTAGAGTATTTGTAAAGTGTATTTATAAGTATGTTTTTTTTTACTCTTTTGAATTCATAAATTTTAGTTTATTGTTTTTTGTTTTTTTTGGTGCATTTTTATGTTCCTTGTTTTTGTCATATTAAATCTACTTCCCCATTTTAAACAATTGTTGATAGATTGAAATAAATCACTTTATATTAACGGCCTTGTTTTTATTTGCTTGAATTTGAATTTCCTAAAAACAAAAGGTACATTGTAGATGAATACAGAGAAGCAAGACGATATAAATATAAAATAACTACACATAAAACATTTTAGCTCTTCTTTTTCGGAGAAAATGTCTTTCCTGTTGCCATCAAGAAACTTTAACATTGGCCATTATTTTTTTATTTGTTAATAGATTTTTTTCATTGACTTTTAAAAATGACCTTGACCTTGAAGGTCAAATGTTTAAATTTTGTTTCATTTTTGCTATAATTGGCTGTAAGTTTGTTATTTATGAATACTAGTAGATTGTGTTCATACTTGGACACAAGAATCCTTTGGATAAAACCTGCAATTAAACCAAATTGATAATGACCTTCGCTCAATATAATGATGTTGGAGGTCGAAAATTTAGCTTGAATTTTGCTATAAAAAGCTATTACTTTGTTATTTTATAAAAAGATTATCTGTATATTTGAGCGCAACTACCATCCTTAGGACAATGTTTTAAAGATGATAAATTAGAATTTGACATTGACGCATAAATGTCATGGTCAAAGAAGGTCAAAATATTGTAATCTCAAGTTTTTGCTTTAACTTTGTAAGTAATGAATGTATTGACTTCCTACTTTGACACAATAAACATTAGGAAAACATAAAAGTAGGTTTAATTTAACTTGACCTTGACCTTAATTTCTTAATTTAACATTGACACTTCAGGTCAAAGTGGAGTATGCTTCAAGTGTTCATAACTTTGTTATTTATGTATAGATTTGATTTATACTTGAAAAAAAGAACACATATGACAAAAGCAACATGTTGAATTATTCTGTTATGACCTTGACCTGTATTTGACCTTCATCATCAAGGCCAAATTATTAAAATTTGCTTGAATTGTCATATGTTGTTATTTATTTACTGACTTGATTTATACTTGCCAAAAAAACAACATATGACAAAACAGACATGTTGAATTATTCTGATATGATATTGACCTTTACTTGACCTTGACCAAAGTCAATTTTTTGAAATTTGCTAAAATTGTCACGACTTTTTTATTTATATACAGATTTGATACAAAAGAACACGTGACCTGGTAGAAATGTTGAATTATTCTGATATGACATTGACCTTTAATTTACATTGACTGTCAAGGTAAAATTATTTAAATTTGCTTGATTAAAAGAATACATATGGCAAATATGAAATATTTTGATACGACCTTGATCGGACGGTCTAGTAACGTTGATTTTGTGTAAATCTAGAATATCTTGATAATCCACCGTAGTTGAAGTTTATAAGCTGCGTACTATTGGGTGTTGAAAGAGATTTGCCTCGGCTTGTAGTCACCCTGACGTCATCAGAATAATTATGATCGTATATAGACCACTTTAACAGGGCTTCAGGTATTATAAATTATAGAAATAATTTACAACAGTTGACTATCAATATATCAATAACAATCTTAAAACGTTATCGAAGTACACGTCATTTTATACCTTTGTTTAGAGTTAAATTTCAATATCTGTCGCATCTACTCGACCGTTTCCGTCAAACTTCGGACAAGGACATATGAATAATAGCCGAGGAGTTCTGATTGGTGTCAACTTTAAAAGGAAAGCAATTGGAACAGCTGACTTAATTAAGCTTCAATGTTTAGTCGTATACTATTGGCACGATAATGACAATATTGCTTACTTGTACAAATATTACAAAGTAAATACTAGTATTCCAGTTACCATTCTTATTGCTAATGGTCATGTTTTGCACACGTTGTATACAATTAGAAAACATTGCTGTCAATGGTTATGGACATATACATTATGCCAATAAACAATTTGATTGAAAGGATTATATAATATTTGTATGGTCATACTTATATTGATAGCATTGACCGCTTTTATATACCTATACTGTACAATCCGATTATATCATTGTACTTTCTCGCAAGGATTTGTTTTGTACTTGGCTATATAAATACAAGATGATATCGGGTTATTGAACCCGTTACCTTTAGCAACCAAAATGCTTTAATCTACTCACGCTTTCGATATACATGTAGTCTGAAAGTCTCGTATTTTAATACTTATCTTTTTTGTTTTTACTTGTGTTCCGTATGGGCTCTTTCTTTGCTGGATAGAAAGAAAAGGGGATAAGGGTCAACAAGTACGGCGATACAAAGACGAAACTTGAAATGAGGAACATTTTGCATTTTAATACGTTGTTCATTTTTACTCTTTGTTAATAACATGGGCATATCTTTTATTTCCCTGAAAACTGCTACAAAGCACTCGTATACTAGTATTTGAAATTATGAGAATTTTTTGTTGAAAAAATTTAGAACTGAGGATAATTATGTACATGACTAAAATCGATCGTAAATTCAAACATATTTTTTCAGTTTGTTTAGATAAACGATTTGATGTAAAAGCGGTTCATGTCTTAGAAGTGTTTTATTTGCCTAGCAGCTTTGTAAATAAGTATATAATCATTGATATATTATACCGTCTCAGTTTGAACCTTGACCTTCGCCTACCATTTACAAAAATATATTCAAATTAACTAACGTGTCTAGATTTTTTGTGACCAAGTTTGTTATTTTTCTTACATGTCTTATTTTTTTAAATCAAGATGTAGTGAGAAACGATCGAGTGTCATATTGTCTTTGATTTGTTGACGACTCTTTACGTGAATTACGAGGGCCGTATTACGCTATATGTGATTTAACAGCCTTTAAGTATTAAAATGACGGTATATACAATTCACATTTTACTTTGCATCAATCGAATAAATGTTGTTTCTTTTTCAAATTCGTAGTAAAGACAATTACGTGATATTTAGTTTTATTATATATTGCGTAGGATGTCTAAACACTGTTGTGTCTAAGTTTTTACGTGTTGATGAATGAACATTAGAAAGCATGGCTCAAGATATTTTTTAACTCGAAACCAATTTCAAAATCTGAAAATTATCGGAACATTGTACAGTACTGTAGATTAGACTGTATAACATACTACGGAAATAATCCGAAAATCAAGGTCATACATGTATATGGTACTATTTATGACATTGTTAATCTTTATTAAATATGTATAAATATAGCACGATGACGAACTGACCATAACATAAACAGTCGGTCACTATGTTTATATTGATTACAGGCCGGTTGGCATGATGTCAAAGTTTTAAACCATACAGGTATTCCTCCCACTTATATATGATATATATTAGCCATAAATCAGTAAGAACTGCGGGAGAAAGGTGTACTAGACGCTCAAAGTTACTAAATTTAACAATGGCAGGAATCAAAGCTTTAATTGGAGATGAAGTTCAAGATAAAAGTGGAAAAATGTGTCCAGTTGAGGAAATATGTGCAGGCAAAAAAGCTGTCGGTAAGATAGTTTCATTTCTCGAGTTTAAATCATTTTGATGTATCACCAAGGTATGAATATGTTACGATACAGGTACGTTCGACAAAAAAAGGCACTTAATTAAAGAGTACATATAAGTTTAAATGAAGTTAAATTGTTGCACTTTAAACAAAGATTTTTAAAGTGCGACTGTCATATTTATACTAAGTTTGTCTATACATATATACAGTTATATCGGACGAAACAAGTTTGTACAAGGAGTATGTCAAGGTGACATTTTTTTACAATGATTGTTGCGTGAAATGTTTAAAATAGATAAGACAACCTCATTGAAAGTTTATATTTTAGAACTATAAATATTATATACGCACATATACTTCATATATATGTGTAATCTATTCATGCATTTAACATTTAAAATTATCTTGCGGCAAGGATAGCTGTGTAAAAATTAACATCTTTATGAAATTAACATATGATGTACATCGATCGTAATTCAATTTACGCGTACGACGACAAGTCGAATACTGTATACCTGTTGGTCTGATGTATATATTTTTTCTGAACCAGAGTTATATTAAAAGAGTCTGTTATTAATCTGGTTACAGGTTAGAAATTAATAACTCTTTTGTAGCTACCTATTCAATAATAAATGATGAAAAGTGTGTAAAAAATAAGGAGTCCTACCATTTTATCTTTGTTAAACATATTCTTTGGTAAATAAAACGTCCGCAAAGGATTTCAGCTTAATCGGCGTTTTAAGTGTGCCATTTTACGAGTATAATCTAGGCACGAAAATCGTATTAACTGATTATTTAAGAATGTTATAATTTAAATTAATAAAACTTTTTGAGTAAAACATTTTCAAGCATTTTAAACTATTCTTAAAATGTCCAAAATTATTGACGCAGCAAGTACATGATGTCATTTTTAAAAATAAATATTCATGTATACATGTATACAGTATAGTTATATTGATAAGATTATTGTTGGCAACTTATATTCTTAAATATTCGGTTGTATTACATAATAATATTTGTTCAAAAAATAAGAACAAGGATATTTTGGGCTACCACTCAACCATCAAGCGGATTGTACATGTATAATAAAGCATGTTTATATTCCCATGAATGAAATGTAAATATTTTATAACCGTTACATTAGCATTATCACCACTTATTTCAATACTTAATCTATTCGTAATAGTTATTTCTGATCGATATTGTATTGCGATATATTGAATATGACGTGACATGTATGATAATATTATGTGTACATATTTTGTACTTCCACCATTTTGTCAAAACGTGAACATACTTCTTATATGATAAATTTCATTTTCAATGTTATATCACATTATATACCTTTTTTAAACCTAACTGCCAAATGATAAGATGTCGAAAATATTTATATATGTTTTATACAAATAGATATTTGGACTTGACTTAAAATCTAAACGATATAATTATTATTATCAGTTCATAACTTCATATATTTCTCCTATCTTATGCGGAACTAGGTGCCCCCTGCTTGCAGTTTTTTCAGACAGAGTCGGGCATTTGTAAAGAACCACAAACCTTTCGGAATTTAGCTATGAAATTCTAGCTGCTAAACTTTCTTGTTGGATTCAAACCCGCAGCCAACAGGGGCGAGTGGTTTGATCACATTGGTATTTACCTGTCAACCGCGGAGACCGCTTTTGACTTCTTTAATCTGATTTGAAATTACAGACCTTTTCTTTAAACTGTTTAAAACTATTTCTAAAATGGTCTAAAATAAGTTAACTTGCCGATTCGTTTGAGTTATTGCTTGTAAAGTATTGAAGAATCTTTACATTTATTGATTAGATTTGTACTTCCTGAGACCGGAGAAATCCATTCATACCCGTGCATTGTTGTACCTAATAGTTTACCAACATGTATCGACCTGTATAATGTATAGAGTCAATATATTATTAATACATGTATCATTGTATGTTTTGTAATTAGTCAGTCTATTTAGATTGTAACACGATTCATTCCTCTCTATTTCGCACACTGTATGTTTTCACATTTTACCCAGTATCTTATTGCGTGACATTTAATTATGTATATAATATACAGTAAACAACCTCTTAATAACTGGATGAAAGTTGTTGTAATTACGGGATGGTCTCATTAGTGGATACTATGATTAAGGCATATATATTATATGACCACTGTCTTATTTTGGTATTTTTGTTATATAACAATTAGATACTACTACACTTTATAAAATTATATATTTTAATATTCAATACATAATTCTAGGTAAATTATTATTTAGTTGGTCTGGCTGACCTTAAACCACTTGCCCCTGTCACTGTTAGTGCCGCGAGCGATATGTGATAGCTCACGGAATGCGTGGTGGTGCCCGTTTGTGGCTGAAATCGTGCACAGAGGGGCACGGAGTAGCGATTAAAATCTTTTTTCTCTCGAACAATAAACCTGGAAAGTCGCCATACAAATACTACTATGTTGCTGCAACGTAAAACCCAAGCAAAACAAGTCCTTTATCCTCTGAACATTGAAGAATTATAGCTTTAACAGAAATAAAATTAGATGTATCACGAATACTGTATTCATAACAAAATCTTGTTGTTTTTTTTACAGGAATTTATTTCTCGGCCCATTGGTGTCCACCATGTCGGGGATTCACACCTGTTTTAGCCGAGTTTTACAAAGAAAATGACGGCGACTGTGTTATTATATTTGTCAGCTCCGACAGAGATCAGGCTAGTTTTGATGAATATTTCGGAGAAATGCCCTGGTATGCCTTGCCATTCGCCAAACGAGACGTCAAGGTAAGAAAAATGAGTTTAAAGGCCCAATAAGCCTCTGAAATTGTTTTATTTTTCAAAAACTTTTTAATTTTATTGGCCTGTTATAGCTTCCAAAAAGCTACTCATTGACCAATTACCTAATCTATCTTTATAGCTTCTGCTGCTTTCTGGTTATTAGTACAATAAATAAATAGTAATTTGTATGGATGTCAAAATACTACTTCGTTTATATTTTGCTACTACATGTATTATGACAAATAATTTCATTTTTTTTGTGCTACTTTCTTCTTTTACATGAAGGGACTTGAAATAATTTTTCGTGATTTGTGAACCATTTTATGTAGGTCTGGCCTAAAAACTTGTGTGCACATTCTCAGATTATTCCCTCGCCCCGCTTTCCCATAAACATCATTTTTATTGTGCAAAATGACACAAAACTAATTTGTTTTTGTGTATGTGTTTTGTTTTTATCTTTTTTCTTTAGTGTGGGGAGGGGTGTTTTTGTTTTGGTTCCCAAACTGATGATATGCTATTTGAAAATATTGCTTTTAAGCTTTTTATACAATAATTGTTAAATAATTAACACGATTTATGTAATCAAAAATTGTATTATCACATGTTCTCTTATAAAAAATGTTTTGTTTATTTGACAGGAATCTGTATCACAAAAATACGGAGTTCGTGGAATTCCAACATTAGTTGTACTTAGACCAGATGGCACGACGATAGAAGAAAATGGACGCGGAAGTGTAGCCAATTCGAACGGAAAATTTCCACAAAACTGGTGTTAGAAATATGAACGCTAGCAATAATGAAATATCCAATCATCAATAAATTAATCAACAATTAATCATGTTAATTACACAGAGCATATTTTGCAATCTAAACAGTTATTTTTTTTTATCAATATACTTAAAATGAGCTATTTTTTTCAACCGTAAGTGCAATTATGTCTAATAGAATGAATTATATTACTATTAATAGAATTGATTTATAACATTTCATTTTATATTCACTTTTGTAACTGTTACAGCGTTCGTTTTTTTTAATTCATTCAAAATTAGGTTACCGTGGTACATGTAATATCATAACAAATACGCTTCATCATCAGAAATTATTTCTTAATGTGCATAATATTTATGTAATTGTAATAGTGAAACCATTTGTACAATTCATTCATAAAATTTGTAAACACATTTTTGTCAATCGTTTTTTATTTTTCCAAAAGGGCATCGACCGAATTGTTCAATACACGTCTGATATTTGATTGGTCATCAATTACAATGTAGTTAAAAAGCAGTTAACAGTTCGAAACCCGTAAGGAAAGTTGGTTGTATAAAGTTTGTAAAGTCAGAGTGATCTCCCTTGTTAAAACTCTAAATGCCAATAAAATTTATATGGAACCAGTTTAAACGGTGGTGGTATTTCTATATGGAAGATTTTGTTTAGTTGATTTCATCAAATTAAATTCAAGAATATGTAAAAATGATTCCTGTGTTCTAAAAATAGCCAAAAACATGGACTTCAGAATCAAAAGATTACCTATGCATGTAATGATATTTTTCTGCCAATTTTAAATGTTAGTTAGTTAACGTTTCATTTATATATCACTACCTTGCCAAAAACAGACATCATGTACATTTATTGCCATGTTAAAGTAAATACATAAATCGAACTTTATATATGATGTGAGCGATTCATGCGTTTAGTAACTAAGATGTGTTAATCAAAAGTTAATGAAAGTCACCGGTCCCTTAAGATTAGAATGAACTATTTAATATTTATACCGAGATGTCACGAGAAAAAATCGTTAAGCTTTGCCATCAACATAAAGAAGTTGTTCTGCGGAAACATGCAAATGGTTTTAATTTAGGTATTCATTAAACAGACTGTTTCTTGAAAGGTTCAATTAACAAATCAATGTTATACTGCCTTTAATGTCGTTGTTTTAAGTAGAAGATTTGTGAAAAGAATTTCCCATAATGTTTAATATAGATCGGTCAGTGATATCCGAGATTAATTTTCTGAATTTGTTTTCTTAGAAGTATCATGTTCAATAGCATTGATTGGTCGCTTGTAGAAAGCTATTTTGTTTCATCTTAAATCCTGACAATAATTTTAGTTCAATTTAGAACTTTTTCCTATTCAGATCGTTTAATGTCAAGTTTGCTATATATTAAAGAAATAACAAGGTGCTAATTTTGTTGACTAATCACTCGCGTAATGATATTGTTTTGGTTTTTCCTAACTTGATTGCTCGAAAAAGTTCTAGAGAAGGTAAAGTGTGCCATGTAGTAAAGTTAGGATTTAATACAACCTTATGTCACATCGGTCATGATTTGTCCTAACACACAATTGGGAACAAACAAATTAAAAGAATAGTTCGATTATTGATATTCGTGCTATTTGATGCAATTTTTGTCACAGCAAATGCTACCACCTATGGAGGTTCCTTTGAAAGTACCGAAGTGAAGCTCTATTCGATGAATTCAACACCATGAATTAGGGTGCACTATACTGCGAAGAGGATTCCTGAGTCGAATAGAGTTTTCGTTATGAAAGATGATAACAAAACCTGTCGACAGAAACATAAACACAATAAAAAGCGGTATTTCCTTGTTTGCTGCTCCCTCATTGTTAGATAATTATCCGTATGATTTAATTTCTTTCCTTCATATATGACCAAAATCTCATTATATATCAATTTGACATTTTCATACAAAAACAATAGTCGCTATCTTCTCGTTGAGGAACATGATTTCAATAAATTTCAAAGAATATATTATGATAATTTTGTCATTAAAGACGAAACAATTTACAGACGTTCCCAGTATTTCAGGGTAGTGAGAGAAGTGCCGGTCTTAAAGCTTCGGGTTTCAAGAATGTTTTGGGGTTTAAGGTTTCTATGGGTTTGGTTGTGTTAAATGAGGGAAATACCGACATTTCTCTCACTTCTACTCAGAAATAACGACCATACAATGTGTAGCAAAGGCGGTAAAGATACTCAGTAATTTGTTACTGCTCGCAATACGAGAAAGAAACATTAGAACAGATTCAATACGAAGCTGCTCGTAACGTTACAGGATTGACAGGATCTGTATCTATACAAAAACTATTTACAGAAATAGGTTGGGTTTCGCTATCAGGTTGAAGTCATATTTAAACATTAATAGTCTTAGTATACAAAGGTAAAAAAAATATTACTAGTACCACTTTATTTATTGCAATTATCCCCCCCCCCATTAGTACAATCTGCACATAACAACCTATATATTCTATAAGAAACAATCATGACTACGCATCAATTGTCCATGTTGCCATGTTGTCAGAAGATTAGAAGTCCGTCATGCCATCAGCACTGTAATTATGGAATAAACTACCAATTGTTTCACGTGAATTAGAATCACACAGTTCCTTTAAATCAAACATTAAAAAAATGTTAAAATCCTTTTTGATCTCTTAATTTTTTTATTAAAGGTGAACGATTGTCTACTATACAAGTAAAATAGAGTCTTGTGGCAATGATCATAAAAGTCTATCTAAGATAACCAAAGGTCTACTTGGAGATACAAATGAAGTGATTCTACCATTTGATTCATCTTCAGAGCGCCTTGCCCAGAAATTCAGTGACTTCTTTATCGGAAAGATTGAAACAATAAGGATTAACATACGTTCTCAAACACTATCGGTACCGGATAATGTAGATATGGAATCTGAATATACGGGTGTCAAATATACTGTGTTTGCTCCAACCACAGAGCAAGAAGTGAAAGCATTGATTAAAAAATCAGCCACCAAATCCTGTGAGTTAGATCCCATTCCAACATGGCTGTTAAAAGAATGCCTAGATGAACTAACACCAGTGATAACCAGTTTTATAAACGTGTCCTTGGATGCTGCTTATGTACCAAAAATGTTCAAACACTCACGAATAAGACCACTTCTAAAGAAACCAAATTTAGATCCTAACGAACTGAAAAACTATAGGCCTGTGTCTAACTTGCCATTCCTGTCTAAAATCTTGGAAAAGGTCGTTGACGTACGACTTGAGAGCCATCTGAAGCAAATAATCTACACGAGGTCAACCAATCTGCTTATCGCAAGTTCCATTCGCCCGAGACTGCATTGTTAAGAGTTCAAAATGACATTCTACGGTCTTTGGATAATAACAATGTGACTATTCTCGTGATGCTTGATTTGTCTGCTGCTTTTGATACAATTGATCACGGAACGCTCCTTCGCCGCCTTGAACGACACTTTGGAATTACAGGCAAGCCACTCGCATGGATGACGTCATACCTGACCGACCGATACCAGACTGTATGCATAAACAACAAACTATCACAGCCAGTCCACATGGAGTACAGTGTACCTCAAGGGTCTGTCCTGGGACCCAAGAGCTATGTGATGTATACGAAACCTGTCGGAGAAATCTGCCGTAAACATGATCTAAACAACCATTTCTTCGCAGATGACTCACAACTCTATCTATCCTTCAAACCAGTGACTAATATTTCAATTCAAGAGAATATAAACCGTATTGAAAGATGTCTTGAAGATATTGTAATGCCTAGGTCACAAATAAAATGGGCGCCGTCCGATTAAACGATTTTTATAAAATCGGCAGATTTTTTGATGTCGTGGACGCCGGGCGATTTTAAATCTGATACCTTGCGTGGTCATGAATGAAACAGTCCTCGGGCGATTTTTGCCGAGTAGATTTTACAGAAAGAATGAACGAATCAGGCGGTCGCCGCCCGATGTCCGTACGGAGCCTGTGCGATTTAAAAGTGAATCGAAAGGTTGCCGCGCGGGCGCCGGGCGACAATGACTTTACATTTAATGACATCTTAGATCAATCAGCTAGTTGTAATTATGCCAGCAAAGAAGTCAGCTGCCAAAGCTAAGAGAAAGGCCAAGGAGTTGGTCCGTGTTGTTGACAACGAGTCACCAACGACCAGTATCGAGGCCGTAGAAGGCGAAAATCAATCAGACATTCGCATGGACATTGAAAAAAAAATTCATGTTTACTAGTATTCAAAAGAAATTCACAAATATATTTTTGAGGCAATTACAACTTCTTCAAGCTGAAATTACAACAAACACAAGCAGCCCGGTCGCCGGATGACAAAACGATGACCGCCCGGTGCCTGTACATGAATTGTCCGGGTACCGGGCGATAATCGTTTGACTACTTGTCTCTATTCTGGCACCGGGCGGGGCCCGGCCGATGTCCGGGCCCGGCCGATGTCCGCCCGGACGCCTTTTAAATTGGACGCTGTTTTAGTAGAACAAAAAATCGCCCGATCAAAAAAATCATCGCCCGGTCGCCGCCCGGCGACCAAACGATGTCCGCTCGATGATATTTATACTCAATGACCCCAAAAATTATCGTCCGGCCGCCGTTAGCTTTTAAGTATTACTTAAAACTCGAAGGCGCCCGCCCGATGAGCAAAATTTTCAGCTGCTGCCGTCCGATACTCACTGCCGCCGGACGGACGCCGGCCGATATTGCGATTTTTTGGAGAAACAGACGCCGCCCGGCGGCATTTTCTTATTTGTGACCTAGGCTTTAGTTGGATGAATGCCAACATGCTGAAGCTCAACGGCGATAAAACAGAGTTGATCATCTTCTCATCTGAACATAACGCACAACCTGTTTCAGATGTTACAGTAACAGTCGACGGTTCAAAAATAAGCCAATCATCTAGTGTGCGCAATCTTGGTGCATTTCTTGACTCGAACATGAGGATGGAACAACATGTAAATAATGTCTGTAGGAACTGTTATGCACAATTAAGACAAATTGGTCACATCAGACCCTATCTTACTGTTAAAGCAACCAAATCTCTAGTAAATTCACTTGTTACTTCTAGGTTAGACTACTGTAATGCACTGTTATATGGAGTCTCTAAGCAGTCAATGACCAAGTTACAACATGTTCAAAATACAGCAGCTAGAATTGTGACCAAAACACTCAAATATGACCACATATATAACACCTATCTTACGTGAACTTCACTGGCTTCCGGTAGAGTATCGGGTCGAATATAAAATTTTGACTTATACATATAAATCACAGCCTATATAAAAGACATGATAGACGTGTACATCCCAGTCAGAAATCTGAGGTCCCAGAAAAACTCAATGACATTAGTTGTGCCTAAATCTCGGACAGTACGATATGGTGACAGGT